CCTCTTCTCTTATAAAAGTACATTAAAACCTGTAGGTTTGTCCTTTAGGAACAGAATATTAAATATTCGGGAGGTTTTTGTAGATGTCTACTGCAGGACCCACAAAATAAAACCAATAATACCACAGAATAATCATTTATAATGCAGGACAGCAGAGGTCCAACATGTTAGAACCCCCTTCTTCATAAACACTTTGAAGATAAAAGACATTACATAATCAGAAAATACACTGGCGTTTTATGATTTCCCATGCATATAGGTGCAGGATAAGTTCATGAGGTGTAAAATCCAACCAGTTGAAGAAATGCATCTTGTCTGTTTTTAGTACAATAACCTCTATGCCTCTTGACATGGAGATAGCGATACATGATCTAGACACACATACAAAAAAACAACAACTATGAAACAAAAATATTTTCAACCAAGAATATGATAGAGCAATTACATTTTGGGGGATTTTTCAGCATTTAGTGTTGTCAATCCTATGGTTTAGTTTAAGCATTAAGAACTTGATCAGTCTGCATTATGTTCAATTGATGTTATAGAACATTTGCTTGAATGCAGTTTAAACAATATATGACATTTTGGAAATATTTACTTGTCTACATTTACAAAATTAGATTTTTTAGTGACATATATATCTTAAACATATAGTTTCAAATGATGCCGGCCCATTCTGAGGAGGTTTAACAGCTTCATCTGTTTTAGGCAAACCACAGTGGGATCATGGAAATGTTTCCGCCCTACCTAGAACACCATTTATGAGGTCAGAGACTGATGCAGGAAGAAAGGGTCTGATTAGACACCTCCACTGATTAATCCTAAAGGAGTTCTATTAGATCTGCTTATTATGGACATTGCATTGGGCAGTTTCCATCATGGTGTACTATGATGGAAGTGGAGTCAATCCTAAACCATTCCTACAATTTCAGAAGAATTAAACTGTCTTTAGCTATATGAAGCATTAAGAGTTCCTTTCACTGGGACTCACTTGGAACTAGAAACTTTCTATGTACCCATTAGTGATGTTCTTTACCAGTCTAGCCAGCTGGTTACTTAATGTTGTCTTCATATAGTGTGTAGCACTAAGGTTTAGTTCTATATTCATCAATCTGGGACTAGTACCATGAAAGCTGTTTGTAAGAAGGAGAGATTAATGCTGATTGGCTGAAGCGACACCTAATGTCCGCCTCCCAGAGTTTGGTTTTAGCCAATCATGGTTACAAATAAAATAGCACCAGACTCCATGAGAAACCACAACAGCAGCCTACACTTTTACGCTCTTGTTGATCCTGTTTCAAAAATGAAACTGTGGTTTCTGATTAAACAGATGTGATAGCAGCAGCTACTTATGCGTCCTCCTTTGCTGCCATGTTTGTTTTGGTTAGGCTGCAGCCATGACTGGAGTGCTGCAAGATGAATTCTCGTGTGTTTGTGAAATTACTAATATCGCAAGAATCCAGCTTTCCGGCAAAGTTAGAAATTTAGAGGTCTGTAGGCATTGGCGCTCAGGTTAACACTTTACTGAGCTTCTGAGAGTGACTAATTTTTCACACATTTGAAGGAGTCTGCATGCCTTCAGGTTTGACTCTATATAAAATATAACAAATGCTATAGGTAATCTAGATGTAGAATTTACATATAATCTGGATAATAACATTTTACATTTTATTATCTAGATTATATGAACAGAGTTTTGTTTTTTGTAATATTAGTACCACTAGCAGTGGTAAATGCTGAAGTCTGCTGAAACCATAATTTCTATAATAATTGTTGTCTTTAATATAAATGCTTTAAAACATTGAACTTATAACAGTGTTTTACTAATCTCTGCAACAAAGTAGAAGATTTAAAACTATTTTCTAAGGGTTTTTAATTTGAAACATACTATTGTAAAGAAACAGAACTGATAGAAATATTCTCTGCTCTCGCTCGGGGAAACTGAAGACAACTGATCATTCCTAAATTTTTGTAATAAGTAATATGAGACACGGGCCTGTCTCTAAATTCACTTGACATGAAACTGTTTGCAACAAAGCTGAGGTCAACAAAACTGCAATTAACAACTCAAACTGTATCATTCACGTCTGGCAGTCATTTCATTTCTTATTTACTTCATTACTTCACTGTGTGCAAGAACACCGTCATGGGCAATAATTGTAATTTGGTGCTGAGCAGCATTCTAAATAATATTGATTGTATATACTGAGATCCTTATTTTATTCCTATATCTTATTTGTTTTAACAATCTTATTTTTGTCTTCTGTAAACAGTTGCACTGCAAGAAAAGAATTTACCATAATGGATTAATAAAATGATTCCAATTTTGATCATCAGATTTGTAGCTTTAAATAACAGGTTTCCTACCTTAGAGTAATATATTGCTGTAGTCCAATCAACAGGCAGTGTAAACTCCTTCCTGAGCAATCTGAAGCCAGCCCTGACCAAACACTTAACACCTACCTGCAGGTTCTGATGCAGATGGAAAATATCTGATTTATCTTTGGGAAGGGGGGCAAATAGAGGCAGGAGCATAGAAACAAAGAAGAGCTTGTTACAATGTCTATAGCAGCTCAAAAGGTTTTTACCAACTGCAGAAAATCTGATTTCTGTTCTTTTGACTGGATAAGATCTTTTTTAGGCTGTAATGAGGCACTATTTCTGTGTCCGTGTTTGTTTTATGTAAAACACCCTAAATTAAGTGAATATTGTTTTAACTCATACAATAGATATGTTGGTATTAAGTATTTAGCAAATTGCCATATTTAGGGAGCATTTGGCCCCATTAAATCATATCAGTTTGTGGTGATTGTTCATCAACATTGGCCCACTTAGTTGGTAGTTTGTGGAAAAGTGTGCAAAAATCAATTCAAAAGATGACTCAGAGAAGGATGGTTTTCATGTGAACAATTATGGAGTGAAAAAGACTCAAAAGTCAGTTAGAAATTATATTAGTGGAGGTTGTGAAATAAAATCCAAATCTACATATCCCCTGTGTGAAAAATGATTCTCCCTAAACCAATTTCTTGGTCCCCCTTAGCAACAACATCTGCAATGCAACTCCTGGCAATTAATCTTTTACAACTCTGCACAGGAATTTACTCATTTTTGAAGGGTTTTCACAGATGGGTCACACTTTAGGTTTGGTAAAAGCAGACTTTTTGTTTTGTCTCACAAAACTGAGCAGAATCTATGAGGATTACCCAAAACTTTAGGCATTGTTTAGATGAATAATGGAAGTTAAATATTAAACGAGTTGATATGCACGATAAAGGTCTTTAAGATCTTGAACAGATGGCTCCATAATCCCCCTCAGATGGACAACATAATCCAAGGTTCCATTTACCATCTTTCCGGTTCGGAGGCAGCTTCAGAAAATCACACCACCGTGTTACTTGTTCCGTGTTCTTGTATTTGTAGATAAAGGCTCTGCTTGTGTTGCTCTGCCGTCCCAAACCTTTAGAAGTGACTTGCCAACCTTTTCTAGACTGATAGCTTTAAATTCATTCCTGAATTTCAATGGAAGGCGAGGTGAAGTTGGACATTCTGGGATACTTTACTTATTTATTGGCGCTATTTTTAGGATGCATTGTGTGTCACTCATTTGTATCTTTACTTCCAAGTCTTTTTACCTCTAAAATATGAGTGTTCTGTTCAACCTCTACTGTATGGTCTAGATGACATAAGGAGACTCTATATTCCCTCCGTTTTAGTAAACAAAGAATTATTCTTTTTAAATCCAGAAGTTCAAACTTTGTTCCTTATTTCAATCTTTTCTATTTGGCCCCACATAAAAAAAAAAAAAAAAAAAAAACAGCCTCCCCAATTTAAAGGAAATTTTTCCACACAAGTTCACGACTACAGCTGGTACAGAATGCAGCAGCAGGATTTTTTAAAAGTGTTTACAAAGAAATACTGGCCCTAAAATGTTCTTCATTTCAAAATGGGCCGGCCCCTTCCTATTTATCTGAGCTGCCCCACCCCTGCATACCTTTTCATACGAGGATCAGTAGAGAACATGCCTCTATTTGCCTTAAAGTCTCTTTATTAATCCAGAGCTTTTGCATTTCTGCCTCCTAAATTGTGGAACAAAATGCCCCTAGTGGTCAGGAAGGTTCCACCTCTTGATTTTTTTCAAAACTTGTTTATAATATATTTTCTTCTTGACTTTGTACCCGAAGTGAGTTTTTATCTGTTTCAATTGTACTTTTTTCCTATTTTGTTTAAAGTGCATTTTTATATGTATATACACATACATGTGTTTTGTTCAGCACTTGAGTCTGGTCTTCTGATATTTTTAAGGTGCTCTAGAAATAAAATGGTATGGTCTACTCCCCTTTGCCAGGAACATCCTATTAAAGTTTTGATTAGGAACAGAGGAGGACTTTATCAAGTACTGAACTCGGCCTTCTGAAGATGAGCCATATGAGCGCCGTCTAACATTTATTTCTACATCAGTTTTTTCCCCCAAACTAAATAGACTTCTCAGATTTTTTTTCAATTCAGAATCAGATTAAGTTAGTTTAAGGTTGAATTAAAGAATTTCTAAACATCTTTACTGGAGACACTTTTTTTCCTTTCAGCTTTGCTGGGATGAAAGACCACTATAACTGTGTTTAAGGTGCTCAATAATAAAATACTTTTTTTTTTTCTGAACTCAACTTTCTCAGCACAAATCATTTCCCCATTAAGTTTCCAAACATTCAAAATCTGATCTGTTCATAACTTGAGCAACAAACTTTCGTTTCTTAAAATAACTGTTCAAAACAAAGGCACTAAAAGTGTAACCGAAAAAATACTTCTGGTTCAATTCTAGTGACGGATTCGCAGGAAGTGGCATGATGTGCGGGAGACTGTTAAGGATTAAGGGTGGAAAATAGCTTTGATGATAGTGTAAGGAGTGATACACAGCATACAGTTATGCAGTGGATGTTGATGAAAAACAGAGACAATGACAAAAGAAAAAAACAGATTAAACTAAAGAAAAAAACAAAACAAAATATTCTTTACAATTTATTTAACGCTTATGACACATCTGGAAAATGATCCTTTACAGAAACTCAAAACAATGTAAAGTGCATCTGGAAAGTATTCAAAGCTCTTTAGTGTTTTCACATTTTTAATGACGTTTCTCACTTTTCGTATATATTTGCAAATATTTAAAAATGAAATTTTTACATTGTTTTCTTTTGTGGGGGAAAATAAAGGCAATCTGTTTTCGGGTAGGCCATAATATAACTATACAATAAATGCTGTGAATACTTTCCAGCTGCACAAAACAAAAAATAAAAAGCAGTTATTCTTAGATATTTGAGATTCAACTTGATTGGAGGATATATCAAGTCCCTAAATTAAACAAAAGGGAACATTTCATTGAAAGATTTATCAAAATGGATTATGTTTAAGCTGTTCCCTCATACGGTTGAGGGACAAAAATGGCTGTTAAGGTCAGAGCCTTAGAGGTGACAAGAGCTCCAGAAGGAATATGTTTGCTTTTATAGTTTCTTTCTGTACCTAATAAACATCAAATATCTTCGTATCAAGATTTTGTTCGGACGTTTTATTAGATTAATGCCCTTTGTTCTGCCCACAGAAAAATAAATACCACAAAAACAACCTGCTGATTTATCTAAAACTCAAGTGTGTCAAACTTACAGGAATCTTAAAGGACGGTTTGTATCTTGGGTTCAATCTCCCCAAATCAACACGCTGAGACATACAAATTTTTTCATACAAAGCTAACCAGTGCACGTTTTAAGTCAGTCGGTAACTTTAGCTTCCATCTTAAACAGGAAGTAAAAGGTGGTGATGTAACCAATGATTCTGGATTGGATTCTCAGATAGATTGGATTTGAACCTGCTGCTAGAGCGCCTTCTATCCATCAACTGCACCCAACTTACAGAACTCCTAAAGTGAACCGCAGCAAAACAAAACAAAAAAACTGCATTTCAAAAAGGTACCAATGGTGAACAGGGAATTCTGTTCTTTTCCTGCTGAACAACTTCAAAGCATCTTTGTTTTTTTTGTTTGTTTTTTTATTCAACCAGAGAGGCTTCCAGGCTGTGTGGCGAGAGTATTCATATGCTTGTTTGGTTGGTCAGGTTCTTATAACTGTACGGCTGAAATCCAATCCTCATAACCAATGTTATAGTTAATACAATGCCATTGATCATTTTTACACAAAATGGTCTTAATGTACATGAGAAAAGGTCAGAAAGGTTTTTACCCCTCAGCCATCAGTGTAACTGGTCCCAGACGAAGCTTAGCCTCACTCTGTCTCTGCGACGCCCGACAGAGGAGGAACAAGCTCTTAATCATCCACCTGGACGATTAAAGAGTCCAGGAGCGGATTAAAGGCGGCGGCGATGACTCTTGTCTTATGCCGCTCTGTCGTTTTTAGTTACCCTGAGCATCTCTGCTGGATACAGCAGATTAATCCCAATATCAGCTCAAAAATCTTTCCTGTGAGACGGAATTCAGAAATCCATTACCTTATGGGTTCCTTCTGTTGAAGTAAAACTTTAAAAAGAAGCAGAATAAAGGTCTACTTCAATTCAAATTAGTTCTCATACATCCTAAACGATAATAATCAATATATTACATAAAAGCTGAATTTCCTCTAACCTTTGTTCCATCTTGTAAAATTTACAGACTTTTTAAACCTGCTGTTTTATTAGTAGTACATTTTATATAAATTTAAAAACAAGTCTTATTTGTCGTATTTTCCCTGATAAAGAGAAAGTGATTGATTCAGTGTAACATTTACTTGTAGCTCACATCACAAGACGACAAATTAAACTTCCAAGCTGTTTGTAGAACTTGCAGACGCGTATATACTTTTCCCTAACAACATTCTGAAGGAAAAAAAAGTGACTTTTCTACACTTTGGCATGTTAAAAACCTCAAGCTTGTATGCAATAGACATTTAGATAGAGAGTTAGGAACTCAGCAGATTGATCGAGGATTTAATATAACGCAGTTTGAACATCTTACAGAGTAATGTTCAATCCATCATCTAAGCTAGGATAAAAATTGCCTGTTCTGGCCATTAACTACCGCTGTGCATCAACCTGGATTCAAAGTCACAGGGTGAAGCACAGGATGGGTGGCATGATGCTGTGGGGGAAACCTATCTTAGGCATGGAGAGGAACACTAAAAGGATATAAACAAAGGGCAGTCCTAGTAAAGGACCTTTTATAAGACATGGATGAAAATTCCCCTTTGTGCAGGAAAGGTATCCTAAATATAAAGAGAGTTTTTCTATGCAACCTGAAGCAAAAATCCAAGAGAGTCTGTAGCAAGACTTGTGTATACACTATGTATACAAAATGACAATAAAGGTTGTTGTCTAAGACTAAAAGAAAAAAAACTCTCTTCAGACTCTCCATTCAGTCTGAGCTTGTGCTGCTTTGCACAGATACAATAGTACTTGTAAAGCGCAAAGTTGGTAGAGACATAATCATGACTAAAAGCTGACATATTTGCATCACTTTTGCTCTCAAGAATACATTTCCATGGTGTTAGTCTGCACAGCATTGAGTCTGTCCTCCGAAATGAAAAAGATATTGAAAATGTGGAATATTTACTTGGGTATGACTATTTTTCAAGGCGCTATACATGAAAGTATCATTATTTCCTTAGAAAAAATAAAAATGACTGTTTACAATCAAACACATTCAGCGCTGAAGTGCAAAATGTTTTTACCTGTTTGAGGTAAAACGCTAAACAATCTGATCTACTTTTATATTCAGCTTTATCATCACCAAAAAAAAAATATTTTCTTCTTAAATTCTAAAAAATATATATATATATACAAATAGTACATAAACCAGTGTAGTATTTGTGTCGCAAGAAGATCACTTAGGAGCCATTTCTACCACAATTCTACCAGAACTCCTAAGGATAAAAAATTCAAAGCATCAAAGCTTCATCTCCTCCCTCTTCCAGAACAAACTTCCACTTTTCTGTTTTAGAAAACTAGGGCAAATATTCGGTTAATGGCACATTTCTGTTTTAGAACTATAGCCTTACTTCATACACATTAACCTATCTGGGTTTTTTGGTTGTTTAGTTTTGCAGTAACCACAGTTCCTCGTACTTCACAATACAAAAATGTTGGGTTCTTACAAAGAGGTAAGAGTGCAAACAAAAACTCCAATCAATCAAGCTTAAACTGATGGTGCTATTGCAGAGGAGTGCCTTAACTTGCAAAGAATACGAGGGGGGAACAGGTATGGGTGTTGCTTTGGCAAAAAAAAAAAAAATAGAAAAGAGGACTACAAGCAGGGCAACAAACGATGCCCTGAAAAAATTACAGGGACACAGCTGGGCATCGGTCAGTAGGACATTCCAAGAGAATTTCACACTAAAATTCCATCTAATTTTATCAAAGAACATTTCCATGACTGCTCCTGAAACAACAGATGGATATATAGATATATATGTTTTTATTTTTTTAAAAAGGCAATTTTTTTCGTTGCAATAGGTAATATTTTTTTAAATGTCCAAATTATCTTTCTTGCAAGTGAAGGATAATGTAATTACCCTCTTTTCAGCCATCTGACGAGCAGTGCTAAGCAACAGCTGTGTCAGAGACCTTTCTAAATCCCTATACGCTCAATAGAGCTGGAGAAAACTCCAGTCACATAAACATTAACAGAACTCTAAAGCACAGGAACAGTTTGATGCCGCTGTTCTTCTGTAGCCGTCCCCATTTGGAACATTGGAAAACCGTGATGCATGGTAACCGGTCCAGGTCTAGAGTGTGAAGCGCCAACACAGCCTCCAAACTGCAAACTCAAAGAACCCACGTTTATACTCAAGCAAGTTTAGGCTGCTTTAGAGGTATAAATGTTGAAGCGGATTTAGGTTTATCAATTCAAGTGTTAAAAATAAAATAAGTTAAATCTGTTCTTGAAAAAACCAAACACTACTATCCATGTAGCTCCATTAAGTATGAAACAATCTATATCTGCTTTATTTTCAGAATAAACTGATCTGAAGACTATCCTGATTCAAAATCTCTTTTTTGAATCCAATCATGTCTTCGGTAGCAGATAGTTACAAATTTTGCTGCCAGCAAACAAACAAGAACAAAACCAAATGAGGAAAAAATAGAAAGACCTCCGATAGTGGTGGATGGAGCATGAAGAAAAAAAGAAATCTGGATGGAATGACAATGATGAAGATTATGTTAACTGTGTAAGTCCAGAAATGATATAATTTCTTTCAGATGACATGAATGAAATGAAAGGCAAAGACATTTCACCCCAAACATTATCTACTATATCCCCTAATACATGATTTTTGATCTGATTTCTCCTTAGAGCTTCCAGCTGCTAGAGCCAACTCGGCTCCATTTATATTAATAAATTAGATAAAATTAAACTCAAGTATCCACATAATACATAAGCTTATTTCAAAAAAGTGTTACATAACAGCTTTCAAATTATTTCTGTGCATCAGGGGGAAGTAGGCCCTCTTTTTGGTATTTTTTGTTCACCAGTTATTTCCACAGGGCAGCTGTTACCTTGTTGTTCTCCCTTGACTTGTTTGACGTAATCTGAGAGCCAATACCAGATTAAACTACCCTGTGGTGGTTTTCTACAAGTGCTCCCTGTGTCTTTAAGTGCAGAGCAGTTAGCTGTTGAGTTTGGCTGCCTGCTCCTTTTCGGCTTTCTCTTTGGCCTTCTCCTTCTCTATCAGCCTCTCCTCTTTCTGCAGCATCACCATGATGTCCGCTACTTGGGAGGTAGAGATATCGATGTCCTCCTTGTCAATCAGTTCCACCACCTGAACAAAACGTGGTAAAGAAAAAAAAATCTGTTAGACAATGAAGCATTTCTTTTCATTATTTAAGAGTTTAAAGAAACATTGTGCCTGTAGATAGGTTGTTTTGTTCTGACTTTGTATTTGTCTGATCCAACATAATCTTATTATGCTTTCATAAGCCGTAACTAACAAAAGTTTGATAACAGCAATAAAGCCTTGTGGAATCATGATTTTATATTCACTTTCTCTGAAATTTGTTAGAGATATTTCAAACCAGAGAAGCTAAAAACTGAAGTTGCTCATACAGTGTTTGATAAATCCATTTAATCAATGAAACTGAAGTCGTTTCTGTAAAATGATAACTTCTGAGTCTGAGCAACTTGGAAGAAGCTGCTAAATGTGAAAGAGACCATCCGACATCTCGATCCAAACACCTCAAATCTATATGGACATCCAAGCTATGGTGGAACTGCCATAATTAGTGCTGGTAGTTAGAAAGGAGCTAGGACCAGGAACAGTTATTCATGTGAGACACTAGCTTAACGAGAAAAAGTGGTAAATGTTTTAACTGCACTAAATGTCGATACCGAAAAGCAACTGATAAGCTCCTAAAAGCAAAGCTTTATCCAGAGCTGAACTTTCATATTTTTTTCAGTATTAGAAATTAAACTCCATCTTCATTTTACGGCAAATGTAAAACTCTTACAGGAAGTATTGTATGCCTTGTTACTATATATATTTTTGTACCATATTTCGTGGAAAGAGTTGTGCTTTAAAAAATCTTCATGTACTGCGATTTTTCAAGGAAATAGCATAAAATACTAGAAAAAAATAGGAAAGAAAATACTAGAAAAAAATTACATAACTTTCAAACAATCCATTGGTTGAATAACGTAAATAGTTTTGCTGTTGTGCTAATAGAATTTTCTTTACAATAATTGAGAAAAACAGGTTTTTAGTTTGAAAAGGTGGTTTATTTTGTCGATATATGGAGACCAATCACTGGTCCCCGTAGGTAAAAAAAAAAATAAATTAAAAATCCTCTCTGATGTCTTAGGATAAGATTTAGGACTAAAGTCTGAATGGAAATTAGATTTGTGTTATGATTAGGTATAAACCCATAATTAAAGATGTCCAGATGCAACTTTTTAATTTCCAATATGATACCACTATTGCAGCTTGACCAATAAGGATATTGATTCGATACGATATTAGCACAAATCATACCAGCTTTTATTACTTGTTTTATAATGAAGAATGTTAGAAAAGACTTGATGAAGTAATATTACAAAAATAAGGAACAAAGGTAATTAACAAAAATGTATCAAAATAACTGACCCATAAAATTAAGCAATGAGTAACAGAAACTTTAACAGAAGCAGAGTGTTTCCATCAAAATATTGGGGATTTTAAATGTCAGGTGTTTTTTTTTTTTGGGGTAATAGCGTACCAATACCTGATATTAATACTAGATTGGGACATCCCTACGTGTAATGTTTAGGTTTAGTTTAAGGGTTATGGTTAGTAGAGATGGACCGATTCAGTTTGTTCTGATTTAATCCGATCTGATTTCAACTCATGAATGAACAGTATATCTTTCCATGTGATAGAAGGCCTGACATTAACACTGTAACAAAAAGATATAGTAGGACAGATATAAAAGTATTTTATATCATTCATTGACAAATAAGGAGCATAAAGAAATGAATAATGGTTCCATGTAAAAAGCACTGGGTAAAATCTCCGATATCAAATTACAGATAACACTAATTGGTCAATGTTGGGGCCAAAATCTGATCGAGGTGTCGGATCAGTGATCGGTGCATCTCTAACTGTTATGCTGTAGAAATAGGTTAGAAATGAACGGAAGTCAATGGAAAGTCACCACAAGGATACAGAAACATGGTTGTGTGTATGTAATTATATATTTACATTTTGCCATTTGCAATTTATTCAAAATGCAATAAAGTTTTTTTTTTATATGTACTCTAAATGCTTGATTTTTTTATGTTCAATGTAAAAGAATTAACCTTATTCAACTGCAAAAAAGCTGCAGAATTAACTTGGTTGAGGAAGTAAATGGGAAATGCCTTATCGAAACTTATCGCAAAAAAATAATTACAATTTTCTCTTTAAATGTATGTTTTTCCTTCAGTTTTACTGACTGTTTTTATTGTTCTGTCTCAGACGCCCAAAACGTTTAGGGCTTTAATGGTTCACAATTAGAAAAATCTGTCTAGGGGTATGAATAATTTTGTAAGGTACTGTTTGCTGTATAAATGTTGTAGTGTTGATGTTACTTTAATGACGTCGTCAATGTCGATCTTTCCGTCTTTGTTGTCATCCAGGGATTCTGCAATCCTCTGCAGCTTGTCCTCTGGAATATTCTGGATCTGCCGCATGACGTTGATCAGCTCGTCGATGCCGATCAGGTTCTCCCTGAAGGCGTAGAAAAGACTGCATACAGGAAACAGTTACCGGCTTGGAGAGAGTGTAAAAGGTGGTGGAGATGTCCAAAACTCAACTAGCTTAGTTCATTAAGGTCTCCCAAATCACACCGATCCGACTGATTTATTAGCTTTGCTGATTAAGCAAGCAGATTTGGTCAGTAATTAAGTCCATGCTGAAATAAAATAGAAAACATGGTCTTTATGTTTTCCTTTAAGTCTGATTTGCTGCTTTAATAGTTTCAAGTTCCAAACATAGGTTGCAACGTTCCATAAGAAACGATATGCAAAAGTTTTCATGCTTTTACACAAAGCATGAAATTTTACTGCTTGAAATCAAGCAGTAAAAGAATTTTGTTTTGATTCAACTGATTTAGTCAGCAGATCAATGCCGTTAAGCCATTTCCAAAACACAGCAACCTGTGGCAGAGCTCTGGTGTAGTTCTGAAATTAGGAACAGTATCAGATCGATCGTCTGCAGAAATATTTCAGCCCATGAAAAACCCAGATGCAGTGCCAGAGTCAGCCAGGCAGCCATGGTTTAACACAGCTCAGCTTACCTTGCAGCATCGCTATACTTAGTAAAGAATAATCTGCAAAATTTGAAATGAATCAGGACTGGATTTGGCATTTGATTGTAAATGTTTTCATGAATTAACTGATTTTTATCTTTTGTCATCTCCATTACGGATTTACAAAACAAAAAAAAGATAAAGGTGCATTTGAAATCTGGGTTCTGAACCGCTGGTGTAAATTCTGGCGACAGACACCCAAAGGGTCGCTCCACTCAAACAGATTTAAAATCCCTTCAGAGTCAGAAGAGATAACTGAAAAATATTCATATTTATCTTCTGTTTTTCTTTTCATAACTTATTAAAAAAGGCACCTCTGAATCCATGCTTCATCCTAAATGTCAAATATAAACATTTTTAACAAGCGGTTGTAGATAAATATGAGAAAGGGCTCAAAAATAACCTAATAATCTTTTTTTCTTTAAAGAAGATTTATTCCCTTGCCCTAACTCAGGCATTGCGACTGCTTTAGGTCGAAACTTAAAAAATAGATCCTGTAAAATGCTAAAATATTACCGGCTAAAATCACTGAACAGAAAAAAAACAAAAAAAAACAAACAGCTTAAGGTGGGGGTCTGAACGTCATTAATTTTCTAGATTTCTCATGGAGAATCTAATGATGAATTTGGATCAATATAAAGGGCTGAAATTTGAAAGTTGCCTTTGTAAACAAAAGTATCGAAACTAATTTTTGAACCGAGGTACAACAGCAGAGTTTAAAATCAGAGTCAAAATGTTGGGAATGTTCAGCAGTGAAGAATGTTTAGCATCCTCCACCCAATAGTTGGGGTGGAAGATGGATTATTTGGTCCAGAGGTATTTTCTGAGGTAGATTTTTAGGATGGTACTCAGATTTAGGTCTGGGTTATGTTCTGGAAACAACAGAGAGAAGAATGGACCCAGAAAGCCACCATGGTTCACCCCAGACGTCAAAATGCTCCTTATGTGGAGGATGATGATCAACAGAAATATGATACTGACCGAATCAAAAAAAAAAAAAAAAGATCAATTCAATTTAAAACTAATGTTTTATAAATCAACGGAAGTCTCCACCATTTTTTAACACTGATTTGATAATTCAGAAGGTACAACCACATGGATGTGGATCAGCTTTCAGATCTGGAGCTCTTACCCAACAGGCGGAGTGGCTCCGCTGTCCACCTGCCCATCCAGGATGACCTTGTCCTTCTCCAGCTCCAGAATGATTTTATCAATGCGACCGATCATGCGGGTGACTCTCTTAGACAAACGCTGGCTGGCCTTCGATTCCTCTAAGGCTTTCTCTTGTCCGCTCTTAGAAAACTCCTTTTTTATCTCCTCCAGATCCTGGAGGGGAAACATGCACACAAATGCATAACGACACGTTATATACGAATATATGCGCAACTTATCTAATATTGAAAAATTAAACAAAGTTTAAAATGTTTCTTAAAGGCACCTCATTGTACTCCTGGACATCATCCTTCAGCTCCTCCAGTTCCTCTTTCTCCAGGGTAAGCAGTTTCTTCTGCTCCTTCAGTTTAGAGCAGGCGTCACTCAGAAGGTCAATCTCTTCTTTGGTTATCTCCTCATCCTTCAACATGAAGAAAGGATCAGAGATGATATTCTGCCTGGAAGATCTATTTAATAAAATGATGGCAGCCTGCTAGGGACATTATTTACAGCAAAAGTCACTATTATAAAAAATCTCTGAGTGAAGAGAATAGCTTCTTTTAAAGGTTTATTTTGGTGTGTTTATTCAGAGGTATTTAAGGTAGTTTAATATGATTGGTTGTGGAGGGGTTCAGCTGCTCCGACTCTGTTTGCTAAACGCTGATCAAGTTCAGACACATTTATATAAAGGTATTTACCCTATTCAAACACGCATGTCACATTACAACCAGAAAACTTTAAATGTTGTATTTCATGTGACGGATCAACATAAAGTAATACTTGTGGTTGATTTTATTCATCTATAAATTTTTTGTTGATAAAATTATATTTTTTCTTAGAAATAAAAACCAAAAATGTTTGTTTACCCCTCCCCCCTCTACTCTGATTCACCTGAAGGAAATTAATGAATAGAATCCAGCTAAGTCTCTGTGTAAATACAGATGTTACATAAAGGCTGCAGATGTTGTTGAATGGAAATTAGTCAAAGGGTTATCATTGCTGGGAAACCACAATTAAAATACAACATTAAACCTTTGACATATTAGTTGATAAAACTGTAACTATGTTTTACACGTCAGTGGAATATAATAGGCTGTAAGCAGCATGTTGACCTCTTTTAACATCACGATAAGTTTGGCTAAAATTAACTTCACTAAAATATCAGGTTAGAAATTTTATTGTGAAACCCTATTGGCTTATCATAAAGGGTGAGGATGGGTTCCAAACCCTGAACAGTTGAGAACCACTGATTTAAAGTGACGTGTAGCTGTAATGCAGTGGTTTTATTTAACATGACAAAATATGAGGACAAAAAAACAAGATAACTAATAACACCGAAGGACAAAGTCTGTTAGGACTGAGGGTTACCTTTCACAACCAGTCAATACGTTTTCACAAGAGGGAAGGAAATCTACTGACAAAAGCTGGAAAATGAAAACATTCATCCAGTTACCGAACAGACGGACTGAAAGAGGGAAAGGAAAGGAAGGGGCGGCGCTACTAGATATAGGTCAAACAGAACAGCAAATAAAATTTAGCATTTCATAGAATTACAAATTTACCAATAAAGCCAACTTTGACTTTATCCTACAAACAGGAAATTACATAAAGTCTAAAATTCAGAGTTATCCATTTAATGTCAGCTGTTCTCTATCCTAAAATACTGGAACAAAATGCTAAAATTATTTGCATATTCTGAGCAACCCAAAATGGAACAGGGCTCAGGAAAATAAAAATACTATGTCTGTCAGAGGAGCAATATTAGACCTAACCTGGAAACGCAGAAACATCTGCCACTGTTCACACTGTTAAACAAATCCAAACAGAAAGATCACAACAGATAAGTGTGAGAACAAAACAACCTTAACCATCCAATCCGGGGGCCCAGAATAAAAACAGCTTTAAGTCTAGACTGATAAAGTTCTACTTCTCTGATACTACGAAAAAATGTCTTTATCAGATTCACATGAAAGGAAAGATGTGAGACTACAAACACTCAGTAACTACACATTCCCAAAACTTAATCTACAAATTCGAATAAATATTTAATGATATTACCTTGTTCCCCTCAATAACAGGAGCTGTATCCCTCAGCGTCTCCAGATGAGCTGATCTGTTAGCCTGAAATGATGCTGGCTCTGCGTCGCTGCGCTTCACCCCATTGGCTTCAAGCTCCACCTCATCCTCCTGCAGGATTTAATATGATTAAACCATCAAACATGAAAAACAGACCAGCAGAATAACATCTTGGAGAGGACACTGAGGTCATCATTGGGCTGCATTAATTGCATTAATGTCAATAACCCATAATAATATTGCCTGGATCTAATAGGCTGATTATTTAACAGCAAAAAAAAACAAAACAAAAAATGGATCTAATATCACCGCAACTGTGTAGAAAAGTGAAACTCTTTTTGGACACTTTTTTTTGGATAGTGAGAGAGTCTGAATGAGTAAAGATGAGGCCTCAGAACCTGTACCAACTGTCAGGCATAGTGGTAGCAGCATCATGCTATGGGGTTGTGATGGTACCTAATGGGCTGCTGCATATAAACCCAGAGATGGTCGAAACACAAATGGATTTTTTAATAGAGACAAAGACCCAGAACGTGCAGCAACAATAGGTCCATAAAGGACAAATCAGGCTTCAGTTCTGGAAAACCCTTATTTTAGTTATACTGGGATAGAGGGATAAAACCTCGAGTTTCACTGGGAAAACAGCCTAAACTTAGAGCTAAAGCATTCTGATGTCCCTATGAAGTTGAAGTACATGTCCTTGCTTATAGTACTAGTGATGCTTTGAAGACCAATCCTCAGCGTTGTCGGTGTACAGCGAGGCATTACAGTACAGAGGGGACTTACTGGCCTTTTCTCAACATCTGTACTTTTGTTCTCATGTGCTCGTGTACTCGAAAAAGGCCATAAGCCTCAGCCCTAGTGCTGTTCCAATTCACAAGAACAAGAAGACCAAGAACAGACAGAGTCCCCGGATGTTTTTGTTTTCCCTCCCTCTTTACAGAGTATGCATCAGTAGACTTGTCCATTCTTGAGATTGAAAGCTGTCCCAGCATGCACCGCGGCAGCAGCAGCTTCCAGGGGAGTACTCACACAGCTCAGAGTATTAAGTTAAATGTTCTCTTCTGTTTTGCCATTGTTCTAGTGCGTTTTAAGATAATTTAAGGCGAGAACATTACACTTTTAAGCGTCACTATAAGGCCCATTTACTTATATAGTGCATAGTTTTTTTTTTTAAGTTCAGATGTTGAGAGGACCGCCTCAACCAGCGGGGCTCTGAGGCTAACCGCAGCCCGTCTGCAGCAGCCCTCTCCTGGCATAGCTGTGTGTGAAGGACAGCTGGCTCTGATGCCAATTTTTTTGTTTTATTTTGCAAAATGTATACTTGATTTGTTTTTATCCGACTGTTAATTATTATTCCCCCACCCAAACAAAAGGTGAGAATTTCTTATTATCTAGAGACTATTATTAAAAGGAGGTGAAATGCAGCTCCAGACGAGCCAAGCGTGTGGTGACATCACAAGTATGCTTCTGTTCCAATTGGTCCATATTTATGCTGGATGCTCCCATTCTCACCAAGTCCATACTTTCCTGTGTTCTTCTCAAGAACATACTTGGCGAGGACACAAGTCTGTCCTCGGCCATTTAGTACAGGAGCTGCATCAGTGGCCACCTTCAGGCTGTCTGGTAGTTCAGCTTTACTGCCAGGAGATGGCGGCACATCTGTTTATCTCTGCTCATCACACCCAGTGCTGGGGTTCTATTTAGGCTCAAAAAAGACCTAAAGACTAACATGGCGGACACTTGGAGTGCATAACCTCATTTTAACATAATCAATTGGATATTGGTGTTTTTGTTATAGGCGTAAAATAAGTCTCCTAAATAACTCCACCAGTTCTGATAAAAGACAAGTCAAATACACAATCTAGATTGAGCTGGAAATTGGGAAAAAATATTTTTAAGATTTCCCAGTTTTTGTTTAATGATCATTTTACACTAAAACTTGACAGAAAGGCATGAATAAGTCATATAAAACCAGAAAGGAGCAAGTTATGGTTATGCTGAAAACAAACAGCACTGTAAAATTGAAAAGAAAACAACATTTATTAAATCTTATTTGAGCTTTCAAACCTTTTATAAAGGTGTTATAAATAACAAAAACACCTCACCCAAAATATTCATCCATCCAATTCTTTCATCTGAAATGATTGAACCTTTCCTCAAATCGACGTTATTATGTTAACGTTGAATAATAAAGAAAAAGTGACCCTAAAAAACATTTTTAAAAAGGTCTTATGATGGGCTTTACCTTGGCTGCCTTCTCTGCAGCATCAGCCAGCCTCTCCATCTCCCGATCCTTGGTGTCTTGGAGTATCGCTGCCTCCTCCTGAAGCATCGTCTCCAGTTTGGTTTTGTTGTCCACTTTGGAGAGCTCCATTTCAGCCACCTTTAACTGAGCCTCTTTGGTCTAAAATTTAAATGTAGCCATTACCAAAAGTATGTAAATTCCTGATATACAGCTAACAAAGTCCTCTACAAACTGGATCCATCTCCTTTTTTTTTACTAGGGTAGTCAACATACCACCATTTCAGGGAGAGTTTGCAGAGTAGTTTTGAGCTGATCAGCTGGAGAGAGAGTGTCTGGCAGGTACATGGCTCGAGACAGAAGCAGCAGAGATGTGGGAATCTGTTGGTTCAGATGTAGCTCCAACCACTGCAAACAAGCATCAGAAGATGACCTACACTGATTTCTTTGGAAGAAACCCTTTAAATGATCTAGATCAACCTGTTCTTTCAGTATTTAAAACTTCTTTGAGTAGAAACAGTAAAGCTGCTGATCTGAACGATTATTTTTTATTTGTTTCTGTTACCTGGCTGAGCTGCTCCCTCAGTCGTTCCTCTGTGACTCCAAGAGATCTCATACCTCTGACCCGACAGGCTGCCTGTACCTCATTCACGCTCAGACTCTCTACTCCCTCTTCTGCTATCAGCTGGAGGGTTTGGAGAGATGGGTGTTAAAAGCATCGCCCCAAATTATTATCTAACAACAGATAAAGCTGATATAGCTGAATGAAGCCCATACCTTGTCATCTGCACGGATGTTTCGGAGCTTCATGATGAGCTGGAAGCGGAGGAAGTTGTTGGTTCCGATGGACTGAAGCTCCAGGAGGCGACAGAGAGCCACCAGCTGAGGTCGGGTGAGGTTGTCGAGAGTCAGCTCATCCTCAAACAGTTTGGAGAATTTAATGATCTGTTCATTACTGGGACGTTCTCCAGAGTCTCGGATCTACAGGAAGAATGGAAGGAAACCATTTTGAATGGTGCAGGTAATGAGTACAGTCAGGTACCAGTAGGTCTGCTGGGTGTATGAATCTACCAACATTTAGTTCAAAATTTAAAGTTCAGGACTGAACTTTGAACATAAAGCCAGAGCTTCGATATGAAATGTTTATAGTCTCACTGTAGTACTCAAAGGCGAAACTCCACTGCTAGTTCAAGCTTTCGATTGCCCTTCGCAGGTTCTCTCCAAGGATTGCTCTGTTTTTAACTCCATTTATCATCCTATCAACGCCTCCCCAAACACCCCAATCAGAAGGCCTTTAGTAGCTTTTGGCTGACTTTTGTTCTGCATAAAGCAGTAGATTCTCTTTATCCTTCATTTAACACCAAAGCTGTGATAAAAGGCATTAAAAATGTAAGTACATAGCAAGTACCAAATTACTCAACATTACTGAAGTACAAGCAGCTCTTAGCATTGTTAATTTTCCATATGTTGATTTTGTAATTATAACATACTTAGGAGTGAAGTTATTCTGCTGGCTTTCCTTTTCTTTCATGATGGATAACACGGCTTTTCTGTCAACAACGTCTTCTCAACTTTGCATACTTTGTGTGAGGGATTGCTGCAGATTTCATGACACTGTGCAAACAATTGCCTATTAAAGCTACTTGCTCCTCCTTTCAGACAGGAGGCGGTGCACACAACACCAGGCTCAGAAACCTATTATTTTCTATAGCTTGTGCCACACAGGAGTAGTTTGTCGTAGCACCAAGAAACAAGCAGGGATAGATGCACATATGGCCGACAGAAACCGGGTCATCCAGTCCAAAGCCATAAAGATGAGGAAGCAAAATGAAGGAAAAGTTAGTGTTTGTCTAAGAATATGACCCAAGGTTGCGATTATGGTTGCTGTGGAAACGGGGCTCTTTTGCAATCTAGAAATTCTCAATCTGCCCTTTCCACCATCTTGGCTTGGGTTTCTTCCTCCCACAGTCTTTTCTTCCTTGCTGCTTTAACTAACCATGCTAGTTAAAGCAGCAAATAAAAACACGCAGAGCCAATGTTTTCAGTAAAAACCTCATTCTGTATGAAAGGTCCACTAAACAGAACACTTTTAACCAATCTGTCTGTATCAGTTCTATTTAATTAACTCTGTATAACGCTGTATAAAAGCCGTTCTATCTGCATTCACAATCTTCTGGAGGAAACTGTATACTGGGTGGCTACTGAAGGCAAGATGCTAGCCTGGTATTTGATATAAACTCATCATATTGACCATTATATCTTACATTTACACACCACAGTGGTTTGTCACATAAAAAAACAACTAAAATATAAGTCTTTACTTAAAATCCCAAAGTGTAAATAAAAGCATATCAGTGTCTATGTTTCTAGAATCCTCTGTTTGTATTCAAACAGAGAATTTGTATTTGCATCTGTGTACAAGCTGCATGTGGCCTGATTCACAGTCTATGCTTCGTCTCAACCAGAAGCCATCTGGATCTGGACTCTGACCTTTTGGAAGAAGGTGGAGAACTCCTCGGTCACGTTGCCCTGGGCAGCCTTGTTCCTCAGTGCGATCTCTTCGATGGTGTCCTGTAAGAACTTGGCCATCTCCAGCTTCACTCTGAGCTCCTTCTTCAATCTTTCCTCCTAAAAGCACATCAAAAATGTTATGTTTTCCCTTTCCGGCAATGAAGACGACACTAAATAACTTGATTTATTAATAAAGTGTTTAAAAAAAAGCAACTGGCAGAATATCTGAACCTACATTGATATGATTCCATTAATAAGATCTTCTAAGTTAACCAATCAAATGTATTAAAGACCTGAGAAATAAAATTATTAGCGTTTGTTACCTTCTTTGACTGCGTTTCAAAGGTAGAAGGCAGCATGTTGGGGAACAGCTTCAAAGCCACAGGAAGGAGAAACTCCATGAATGGGACGATGATGAAGACCAGGAAAGGCAGCAGCCTGAAGACATCTGCACACGTTCTGAGAAACTGCAAACATTTTTCAGAAAAAGGTAATGAGCACAAAGTATGATGATGATATATTTTAACAAGCTTTAACTGGATGCAGCTTTCTAGCTCAACAATGCTGCATTTTATAAAGAAATCCAGCAGGGGGCAGGATCTGTCCCTTAAAGTCAAACAGAAACAGGAGGAAATTTTTGGCATGAAGAAAAAAGCTCCTTTATAGTTTTAAGAGTCAGCTATTTTAACTCTCCGCTCTCCATGCATAATTGCTGCTTTTTTATTTTTATGTTTTCATAGGGCTGTAAAAAGGCAACAGTGGACATCCGTGCCTAAAAAGTTCTTTCTACAACAGGAAGTGTGTAAATTAAGCCCAGAGCGGAACAATCCTCCTTGTAAAGACGACCTGAGCCAGACCTGCTCCGATTCATTGTACAGCTGTCCAACTGTGGCTTCCTGACTGCCCTGAGACACAGTAAACGTCCAGAGGCGAGAAAACCACGACAAGAGTCTTTTTTTCTTCGTCCTTCCACCTGCATTTCAGTGGGGCAGTGGGATGAAGGATTTAGGCCATCTCAAGTGAAAAGCCCTTTGTCTGCAGGCCCATTGACACGTATATCATCCGCTGGAGGTTTGGGTATCAAAGCAGAGGCAGGGGTGACATTCTAGAATGGAAAGAGCCCCGAAGAGAGGGCGGAAAGGAGGAGATTAAGGAGGCAATGCCATTCCAGGTTAGATGAATGGGGTGTAGATGGGTTTTGGAACATGCGCACTGAAGGAGGTTCTCGCATTTGAAAAGAGTTAGAGGTGGTGGTGCTGCTAAGAGAGAGGGGAACCCGCGGTCACAGAAAGCTTCAACTCTGACATGAGGCCTCATTTCCTTTATTTCACCAAAGAGATCAGGGTAGATGCTGATTACCTGAAGCAGTTTTTTTTTATTTTTTCCAGGCTCTGAAACTTTACTCTAATATCTGTTGGAATTATTTGTACTATTAGAGTCTTATTAAAGGGCAAACTAGTGATGACCCAGTTAAAAAACTGTGAGTATTTAACGCACCATAGGAAGTAAGACTCAGTAAGACCATTTTCACATCTCTAAGTGTTTTTCAACGCCAGTAATTCATCTTCAACCACAGGGTGTGTGAGAAGATTTATAAAGCTTGCTGACAACCACAATATATCTGTTCCTAAAATAGATAATAAATGATTTCCTACTGCAAAAACATTTTTTAGATTTTAAATATATTCTTACATCATAGCTCTTAATCAGTAGGTAAAAGCTTTAATCTGAATTAGGCCACAAGATTTAAATTAGCATGAATTTCATTATAAACTACAATAAAATATATAAGCAATGGTGGTATTATATATATATATATATATATATATATATATATATATATATATATATATATATATATATATATATATATATGCTTAAGGAAACCTTCAATCATAATATGATGTTACTGTGACCATTGACCTCTGGAGAAAAGCAATGTTGTGGCCAGTTCCAGCTAATCTCACAATAACAAAAATGAGCCCAGAAGATCTGAAGAAGGGAAGGTTTTAGATGTAGAGGAGCTTCCATTCTCACCTGTCTTCTCTCACGGCGAGACAAAGGATTTCCATTCAGGACCCTCCACAGCATGCGTCCAGCGATGGTGGTATCGATCCACAGCAACCTGAAGCCATGGTAGTAGTGTTTGATCTCATCAATCACCCGCTGCCGCAGCGTCCTTCTGACGGGCTCAGCATCCAGCGTGGGACTGTACACGGGCCCGCCTTCCTCCAACTTCTTCTTCTTGTCCTTTAGTGAGCGCAGGGATTTCTCCACCTTCGAGTCATCCCACCTTCTCCTCGAGGTGTGTATCCACCTGACAGCCGGGAAGTACTGTGGCGGTCCTGGGTTGCACAAACCAGGACCAGAGGAACCGACGGCAAACACACAATAGGGTCGACGTGGGTCAGAATTCTGAGAGGGTCCCACATATTCATCAGGCGAGGCGAAGGAAGGACTGACTGAGAAAACACGGGCAAAGCTGCCAAGTCGGAGCCCATCAAGCCTGCGGGAAACCAAAAAGTGCAACAAATACAGCAGCGATAAAAACGTCTGAAAAGAATCATCCTCAGTTTTTTTTTTTTTATGACAACATATTAGAGATAAAGAAATTCAGTGATTTTCAAGATATGCAGAAACTGTAAAGAAAATTTCAAATCGCTTACTTTTGACTGGTGAGTCTGAGAGTTGTGCAGTTGAAACAGGGACCATCCTGCAGCTTATCTGAAGCATAAAAAAACAGATCAGCATTAAACATTTGGACTGTACACAGACGAAATTCTATGTAAAGGGAATTGAGATGCTGTTTTGAATTGGCGTAAAATGAATAAACTTAATTGTTTATAAGTAATTCGGAGGAGACATTCCTCAGATCAGATGAAACACTAACATCTGTTTGCATAAGAGTGGTTCAGTCAATGTTTGACGCATAGAAGGCTACATTTTTTTCAATTTAACTCATACATTGTAGTTTATTTCTAAATTAGTTTGTTTTGTTTCCCAGAGAACTCCACGTCCAATCAGAGAAAGCTTTAGTTATTTCTATTAAAAGTATAATGGCCAAGGTTAGAATATTAATTTACATATGCAGATCTAACCTTTACCCAGAAAGACCTGCAGATCTGTAGGTGCTGCTGAAGGTGCAAGTAAAAACTCCAACTCATGGTATTTGAAAATATCTCCACTTTTTACCTGTAGCTGTATCACATAAAATCTAATATTTGTGGTTGTAACACAACAAAAGAAATAAGTTAAAGAACCGAGAATAATTTTAAAACTACTGCAATGGTCTTTCAAATTTAGAGAGATGACTCCCATTAGTTACACATGGAGATACTTTAGGAAGTCACGCTGTGTCTTATGCAATCATCTATTAATGAACATATAACAGAAGCTTACTGAAATCTTAAGCTAACATCTTGCTTTGCTAAGTCATGAAACAGCTAATGTAGTAAACGCACAGGAAACTAAAAAGTCAGATAAAGCACTTAAGATATAAATTATTACTTAATATAGATTAGAATTATGAAATAACACATGTACTCTGCCAGATTAGTAAAACATATTCTGTAACATATATCTTCGCTCCCAGAGGCACACAGTTGGCTTCACAAACTCAAGTGACATGTACTGAGAGCAAAGGTGGAGAGCTGAATCTCTTCCAGCCAATTACACGAGGGCCGGGAGCTTGTCCACACCCTCTCACATGGCCGGCTGGATTTAGTCCAGCAACGTCTGGTTGTACATGATAACCAGGGGAACAGAGTTTACTGGAACAGTGTCCCCTCTATGGCCGACTAGTTTAACAAAAAGAAAAGGCTGGAAATACAGTAGATAACACCTCATGTTTACATTGTCCTGTTACTCTGCGGCCTGTCGGACTCTTTGGTTACAGTGCGACTTTCACCCTGCAGCTGTCTGGCTGCAAGGAGATGAAACTGGAATCCATGGGTGTCTGCACTCTGTGAGCAGTTTACCAACAAACAAGGACACAGATCCATTCATTTACCTTACATGCTCGGAAAAAGAGTGGAAGTTGTATTTACGCCTTAACAAATTCAATACAGATGCAAAACAAAGACAAATTGAAGCATTAAGTAGAGGTATTGTTCTGTTGGCAGCACAACAGCAGTAGCATCAGTCACAGAAAAAGACATTTCCATGTTTTTATAATTCAGAATTATAAAAACATCTTTAAGATTTTATTTTATACATGATTAGTTTTCTCCTTTGCTTTCCGTTTGGTTAGAGTTTTCACAGATGATGATCAGACTCAGACAACTTTAAGCTGGCATGGCTATAAGCGGTGACTGTCTGGTTGAAAAAGGTTTTAAATTAATTTCTTTTTTTTTTTCTAGGCAGCAACAATACTCATCTGTGTAAACGTCAGTACTATCCATTAGGTGTCCCCTGCTATAATGTAGAAAATCATTTATAGGCATTTATGTAGCTCTGCTGTTGATTCAAGCTGCTTAAACAAAGAGTCCGTTGTCATTTTTCTCCTAATCTTTTCTGGGTCGACACAAAGCCGTCTGACACAAGATGACAAAATAGGATTTTATCTAGTGGCTGTACAGATAAATGACTCCTTGATGTTTGCATAAAGCAAGACAAACATGTTTATCTCTGATACTAATACTGCAATAATCGATACTATCTAATATAAGGTGCAGCTTTATTTTTAAGGCACACCTCAAACACACCTCGTGTGATAGTGTGGAATAATTTTAAAAAAAATGGGCAAACTATCAGGAAGTGAATAAATCTGGTTCATCTATGAGTAGCACTTTAATAGTTGAAGGTGCCGGTTTATAGGTTTAAACAATTATCATCTGTAAATGTCGTGGAAATGTGCAGCATTCATCAGGGAAAATTGTCTGGTGCCCAATAAAAAAAACAATGCATCGGGATGAAAGCAGCAAACCATGAAGCATCACTATTTAAAGACCAACATGGAAGCCTTTACTACAAAAACAACATAAAACGCACAAAAAGATAAGACTTGCAATACAAGTATCCTGCGGCCCGTTTCACAAAGCAGGTTTAACAAACTCAGACTCAAATCCTTAACTCCGAGTTGATCTAGCCTAAGGTTGGAAACTGTGTTTTCGGTTTCAGAATGGCTGCAGTGAGTTAGTTTAATCAACTCTGTATAGATCCACTCAGAGTTGAGCACGTACATAACAAGTATGGAAAGCCCTTATCAGCGGAGCCCCACTTCGACGAATTACCATGACAACAGGCAACAGGTAGTGCCTATTTCACCCAATAAGAACTAGAGATTTTAATGCAGAAATGAAATAAATAAAATGGATAATGTATTTAAAAGACAGCCACAGCGCTGCAGTTGCAAAGGAGAGGAAGATTGTGTAGAACAAGACTGCTGCTGAATTAAAGCATAAGTTTATATGAAGAATTCTATAGCAGGCAGCTTTAACACTTATTAAAAGCACTCTCCTCTCTCTTGTTCCAATTGTAGATCAGTAAAATAGAATTTTTCCAGGTCAAAAATCACATTCATAGTCAGAATGACATAACAGATTTCCTAAATTATATTTTTGCAGCAACAAACTGCATTACAGAAAGTTGAAAAACATTATATACCTTGAAATGTTTACACATTCATCTGCTTGACTGAATATGTATTTATGATATCTGAAATAAATTTCTTCCTAGTTAAAATAATATAAATTATGGCCAGTAATATAGAGAAATGGAGTTCTGAAATTCTATTCTAACATCCAAAGTGTTTATTTTAGAAATAAAGAATGCAATTTTGTTTGAAATTTTCATTTTGACAAGGAAAACATTTACTTCAGATATCAGAAATACTTATTCAGACAAACTAATAAGTATGAAAACAGCCTAACATAGTGAATAATCACAATAACATTATGGGGGGAAACTAGTTTACATCTTGAATGATACTGGATCAATGTATCTATTAGGTGCAATCAACCGTCAGCAGGTGTAGATGGAAGTATAAAAACGTTATAACAGGTAGGACCATCATCTCATAAGGTACCCCAATAACGCTGTTGTCATTAGGGATGGGGATCGAAACCCGGTTCTATCAAGGACCCGGTTCCAGTTTTTTCAAAACCCGAAAATCAATAACGTTTGGGCTTATCGATACCACTATCGAGTCTGGTCTTTTTTTTTTTTTTCCCGGAGGTCCTGTAACATAATTGTGTGTCCCTCGAGTCGCGTCACAGCATTTAAATCTAATCAATCCAATCACTGCAGCATGTCTACCAATGTTTTGGAATGAAATTGTAAGCAAACAGATATTAAAAGTAAAACAAGTGAAGTCTGGCAGTTAACTTTGCTCGCAACTCGAGAATGGCTGAACGGAAAAGACTCCTCCTCCTCCTGCTGCTGCCCCGCCGCACCACAGTCGGGCCCGTCTTCATCATCCACTCAGAGAACCACTGGTTAGCGCGCACACAGACTTTGTAGCTTGTCTGGTCACTTAAAAATGGTAATTGTGAAATCCGTGTTGTAATCGGCAGCATACAAGCTAGTTAGCTTAAAAAGTAAATAAAGTTTCAGACGTGCTGCGTGATGATGTGTTCAGGTTGGCTCAGTAAAACGACAATTAGGTTATCATGATGCGTTCAAGTGTAACGTAAAGAAAAGGGAAATTGAGTTTTTGGCGAGAAACATGAGTAATACAGTTGTATATTGCTGTAATTATTTTACAATATATAATTAAACTACTGATGCCAACATTTATTAAAAATTACATTTAATTTAAAATAAAATTATTTATTTGATAAATATTTTCCTAATCTCTAAAAACCTGATGAAAAGTGACAGACATGTTAATTTTTCTGCAAAAAAATACCTGTTAATTTATGGGCTGATATTTTATTTCCTTTTTTTCTGACACAGCATATTATTCATTTAATTTATATACATTATGACATTTTATTTTTCATTTGGTGCTGCTGATATATTCTAGTTAGTTTTATGTCATTTAGAAGTGGCCTATTACATTAGCCATGTTTACTGAAGGCTAGAAACTTTTTTGTTATGCTCACTTGTTAAGCAATAAAAGCAATACCAGTTCTGTTAAAAACATATTGTCGCATCGTCTTTCCACCAAATAACAGAAAAGTATCGATAGTGGTATCGATAAAGACTCGGATCGATAAGGAGTATCGATAAAGGTATCGATATCAATAAATATTAACGATCCCCATCCCTAGTTGTCATACAGATCAGTTCTGTTAAATATAAGTTAAAGAAGTCAGTGTAATACTGCTAATGTCAGGATGGATAAGGTCTTAGATGTATGTGATGGATTGTGAGGTGAAACAGTAATGCTCATAAAGATAACTGGATGTTAAAGGACATCTATACCCAGTTTGAAAAAACCTCTTGTTACAAATATTTAACACTCTGTGAATTAATGCTGCCTATTCTTCAATTGGATCCTTGTCTAAAAGACATGCTACGATTGTGTTTTAACACCTAATGTGTCTCACAGACCTAGTAAATGTTTTCCGAAAAGCTACGCCAAAAATCTCTTGACTAAATTAGTAAATAACACAAATTGATTGTCTTTAAGGAGGGTGGAGACAGCTTACTGAAGAAAACCTGCTCCCCACCAGGTAACTCTGGAGAGAATATTACTGCGGAAACAGGAACAGAGGTTAAGTAAACCTTGTTTGTGAAATGGGCCTCACAGTCTGATAGAAAAAAAAGTTAATGTTTTTTGTTTTTTTTTGCCACAATGAATACTTTTACATTTGAAGGAAATTGTGTGGGTGATTTACTGCAGGAGGGATCGGTGCACTTCACAAACTAGATAGGATAACGGGGAAAGAACACATGTAAATATTGGATGTCTCAATAAATAAGTATGGAAGGTAACGCTAGGCGAAAAATGACTCCTCCAAATGGACGCTGACCATAAACACAGAGACAACCTAGCTCTAAAGAGGCTTATGGTCAACAAAGGCTAAGTTTAAGAGGGGCCCTCACAACTCTGAGGCTTGGGGCAGAACTGAAAAGGACGAAACACACAACTGACTCACCAACATCAGTTCTACGAAGAGCAATGGGTCAAAATGTTTAGATTGAGCAAAAACTTTGTAAAGTAAACTAATTTTACTGGGGCAATTTTCAAAATACTATATAAAATACAAGTAATAAAAATGAACGTATACTTTCAGTTAGTGTGGGCGATTTATCCATAAACATCCATTTATCAGATTTTTGATTATAAGGATTGAATATGGATTTTTTTTAGCAATCCACCTGGGCTTTCATAGTTTAGTGTAACATCAGGTCATCACCTGTTATTCTTAGATGTGTACTTATAACTGATCAACTAGCAGATAAACACATAGCTGCTAACACGTAGTGCGTTATATTTTCCTTGTTTGTTGTGAAACATGATTCTTTGCCCTTCGTATTAAGGTCACCTCTCAGAGGAAATGATTGAAGTCAAAGATAGTTTGTGAAAGAAATGTTCAATTTTTCATTTGTTAATATGAAACTGATTAATTTGATTAAGTAGAAAAAAAGAGTCAGGGAATAGATTTTTAAGCCATATTATTCAGCCCTCCTTTCCAGCTTATATAAAATATTATATATAATAAGAATTTAACTTTATTGGTCTCACATTGGTGAAATATACCTCTGCATTTAACCCATCCCTTTGGGGAGCAGTGGGCTGCTATTGTGCAGCACAATCGGGTGCGTAGGGTCTTGCTCAGGAACCCAGATTGGAGGCAGTGGGATTCGAACCGGGTACTTGCAACCTTCTCAGAGCACAAGCGCACAACTCTAACCCCCTAGGCCATATATATATATATATATATATATATATATATATATATACACTCACCGGCCACTTTATTAGGTACCCCATGCTACTAACGGGTTGGACCCCCTTTTGCCTTCAGAACTGCCTCAATTCTTGGTGGCATAGATTCAACAAGGTGCTGGAAGCATTCCTCAGGGAGTTTGGTCCATATTGACATGATGGCATCACACAGTTGCCGCAGATTTGTCGGCTGCACATCCATGATGTGAATCTCCCGTTCCACCACATCCCAATGATGCTCTATTGGATTGAGATCTGGTGACTGTGGAGGCCATTTGAGTACAGTGAACTCATTGTCATGTTCAAGAAACCAGTCTAAGATGATTCCAGCTTTATGACATGGCGCATTATCCTGCTGAAAGTAGCCATCAGAAGTTGGGTACATTGTGGTCATAAAGGGATGGACATGGTCAGCAACAATACTCAGGTAGGCTGTGGCGTTGCAACGATGCTCAATTGGTACCAAGGGGCCCAAAGAGTGCCAAGAAAATATTCCCCACACCATGACACCACCACCACCAGCCTGAACCGTTGATACAAGGCAGGATGGATCCATGCTTTCATGTTGTAGACGCCAAATTCTGACCCTACCATCCGAATGTCGCAGCAGAAATCGAGACTCATCAGACCAGGCAACGTTTTTCCAATCTTCTATTGTCCAATTTCGATCAGCTTGTGCAAATTGTAGCCTCAGTTTCCTGTTCTTAGCTGAAAGGAGTGGCACCCGGTGTGGTCTTCTGCTGCTGTAGCCCATCTGCCTCAAAGTTCGACGTACTGTGCGTTCAGAGATGCTCTTCTGCCCACCTTGGTTGTAACGGGTGGTTATTTGAGTCACTGTTGCCCTTCTATCGGCTCGAACCAGTCTGGCCATTCTCCTCTGACCTCTGGCATCAACAAGGCATTTCCACCCACAGAACTGCCGCTCACTGGATGTTTTTTCTTTTTCGGACCATTCTCTGTAAACCCTAGAGATGGTTGCGCGTGAAAATCCCAGTAGATCAGCAGTTTCTGAAATACTCAGACCAGCCCTTCTGGCACCAACAATCATGCCACGTTCAAAGTCACTCAAATCACCTTTCTTCCCCATACTGATGCTCGTTTTGAAATGCAGGAGATTGTCTTGACCATGTCTACATGCCTAAATGCACTGAGTTGCCGCCATGTGATTGGCTGCTTAGAAATTAAGTGTTAACAAGCAGTTGGACAGGTGTACCTAATGAAGTGGCCGGTGAGTGTATATATATATATATATATATATATATATATATATATATATATATATATATACTTGGTGGCGCAGTGGGTAACGGGCAACCGAGTTTGAATCCGGCACGCGGCCCTTTCCCTGCATGTATCCCTCTCTTGTACCCCCTTTCCTGTCAGCCTACTGTTCATAAAAACGAACCACTAGTGCTGTGAAAACTAAAAAAAAAAAGGGCAAAACACAATCCTGGACAAACTTTAAAACAGAAACACTGAGCTTCCTCTGATTCCCTTCATGGACCCGGTTTTGAATCTCAGCTTTCAGGTAGAGTGGCTAGCCTAAAATGACAGCAACCTTGTGCTCAAGTTGTATTGACTTGAATTGGTGACTCTTGAATCAGGGAGCAGCTGAAGGAAGTGATCATCCTCTGATTCAACAGGAGATATAAAAAGGCATTGACCTTCACACGTGGAGGCTACGGTATTTGTCTGAAAATGTGGGCCTGAAGCCAAAACCCGGGAGCAGTCAGTGAAGACAGATCATGACGAACTTAAAATCTAAGAACGAACCAGATGCATTAAAGATATTTTTATTCTTACTACAGACATCCATACAAACACAATCAATGTCCTCTTAAGACCTCACAGTGATCCACTTAGAAATTACATAACAGAAGCGCAGCCAGACAAATCATCTTGAAACCTACCCCGGGTATTCATCAACTAGCTAATGCTTGGCTAGTCCGGATCAAAATCAGCCAAAGTCAGGCAGACATTTCATCGTTATATCAGCTGTAAAACTATGTTGATTCTGAAACTGGGCTTCTTCTTTGAAACAATATAACACCTCTTACACAATATCCCAACGTTATGGCGTGTTGAGCAACACAAAGATAAACCTGGAGCAACCATAGATAACTTGTACTTCATCTTGGACATAAAGTCAGCAGATAATGCACTGATCAGCCTTTTCATGATCTGAAGAAATTTCCATTTTGACCTTCTAATCTGCTTATTTTAATTTTTCTCAGGACTAAAACACAAAAGAGAAAATATGCTGATTGACAGAGGTAAAAGTTTGGAACCTAACATAAAACTCAGTGAGGCTGTAAATGGAGTGAGCTCTCAATTTTATTTTATTTTTTTTCATCATATTTTCATTATTCTTCGTTTACCTGCCGAGTATAAATAGGTGATATAAGCGGTATCTGTTTGCCATGGCAACAACAGCATCACCTCAGGCTGCAGAAGGGTCAAAGCTTAAGAAGAATACCCTCAGATAACCTGACTCTCTTATCGTGTCCTCCTGTTTTACACGCCATTTGTCCAAAAACGTAAAGTTATAAATAACTGACATATTGGAAAGTAAGCAAAACAAAATAACTCGTGATTAAAGTTTCCAGCTAATTCTGTTGTCACCTTCAGTAAAAATAAACTTAGACCGATTTACCCCCGGAGAAGACAGGGCTGTTCTAGATGCTAACATGTCTAAGCTAACGAGTAGCTTAATTGGTTGTGTAAAGCCTATTTTAGCGACCGAAACAGACACCTTACCTTTACCTTTCCGGAATTCATTCTTCAACGACCGAGACGTTTTCATAAAAGGCGTCCGGGACCGTGTAAACAGGATTAAGGCCATGCTCCGAGGGCTAAATTAGCTCCTTTTAAACAGTATGTTCAGATAGCTAGCTGCTCGCCTCGCTAGCTACGGCTTCCACCGGACGTCAAATTTAACGGTCTGGTTAAGCGGTGCATAGAAATCCACACTATAGGAGAATTTTAACAGTCTAAACGAGCTCGCTTAAATGGTCAGTGGAAAACACAGCCCCATGTCATGCCCTTCCTTTTCTTTCTGGCGCATGACAGACAGCAGCCGGGCCGATCATTTTGAATGACGTCAAAAACTATAACTTCCGGTGTCAAAATAAAAGCTTGAACGACGTCAAAAACTATAACTTCCGGTGTCAAACTTAAAGCTTTTCCGTTTAGTGTTGGATTCATCCGAAGAACTGAACTGAACCATAAGATTTTGTTTATTTATATATTAGGGAATTTAATATTAGATATTGTTTAATTTTAAATACTAAAATGGAAATTTGGTTAAAAAATATATTATTTACATGGTCAAATGTTATGTAAAATGTATTTATTACCGTTATTGTTTAGGATCATTAACAGAAAATTAGAACATTAGGTAAATAAGAATGTGATTTATTAAAGAAATATAGTGGGAAAATATAGATTGAAAAACATTTTTTTCCAAGATTTATATTTGCAGCGGATTTCAAACACTGAGGGTTGTAATAAGAAAATATATCATGAGTTTTCGTTCTTACTCTTGTTACAACCAGCAGATGGTTCTCTAAAGATCTAATGGGTCTAAAATGACTTATAAAGTGAATCAAAATCAGATTATCTGTTAATTTATCAGTTATTGTAATTGACACATTAATTATCTGGCACAATGTGCAGAATGATCTGAACGCTTCACAAAGCTCCATATATAAGTGTGTGAGAGCATATGAGAAATTTTATATGATACGAGCTATCAGAAGTGATAGAGGCTATATTATGGTAACAATGTGTGATTTTATTAATATTGGGATTATATGTGTTCTGTTATATATAGACATGTGCCTCAGCATCTCACAGCAGTTTGGTGAAATGTTATTAATAAAATAAATATAATACAGGCTTTTTGCAGACACTCCTGTGTTAAAATAATACTACACAGAAATAGATTAAAGCACCCTGAGAAGAAAAAAAAAACTTAAATATAAAAAAAAGTTTTTCTTTAATTTTAGTTAAAAATGGGTTTATATATGTAGTTTGTTTTATACACAAAGTACAGTCAGTGCTAGTCCAGGCTATGAAAATGGTTGATGCTCCGTCTGATATCAGTAAAGATGTTTTTGAGTCTGAAATTGGTGAGTGTTTGTTTTTGTATATATAATAGTGATATTTTGTTGCTGCAGGGGCATCTGTGGGACTTCCTCTGGGGGATAGGATGTGACTTCAAGGGAGTGAGTGCTTTCAGCGCTGAATAAAAAAAAAGAAAGAGGGTTTTAAGATTATTTGTTCTGGGTTTAATGCTCCCAACCCATTTAAAGCATTGTTTTTTTGGCAGTGGATATGGCTTTTTTTTTTTTTTTTTTTTTTTTTTTTTTAGATATGTGCAACATAACATGAACCAAATAGATTTAAATAGAATGGATCTGGTGCAGCTTACATCCCACACTGTCAGGCTGAGACACAGTATGCTTTCAATTGCTTGTAAGCAGCTGAGAAGAGAAACAATGTGAATGTTTTAATGGTCTGAGAATGAAAACCCTTTGTTGAACTTTTTTCACCAGGTGATAGACGTTTACAATCCAGAAATGTTGATGTTTTTGTTTGGTCCATTGCAAGGCAGTTGAGAGTGAGGAGGGCAGGGCTAAGAACACAACTCAGCAGGATGTTGTTTTTTAAGATCAGTCCAGCAGATGTGCACTTCCCTATCCTCACCTCCTGGGGCCCATTGTTGAGAAAGGTTATTGTTCTTATTGTAATGGTATTTACTGTTTAAAACCACATGTTCATGCTTTAAATGCTTTCCTAATAAATCATCTTCACTGCAATCATTCCGTCTGTCCTGTGTTGTTTGGCTTATCCACAAAAAAGAACAGCTCCACACTGCAAAAAAGAGGCCGCTTAGGTCTGCAGATCCCAAATATTCTGGATATAAATTAAATGGAATGGTACCTTCGGGTTGATGCTGCACAGCATGCTATTGTTCAGTCTCCACATACAGGCCTTGTATAGTTAATGGAATGTTTTAGATATTTTGGGGTGGTTTGAAGGAGTTATAAAGATTATTTCAAGATTTCTGAGGAACTTTTTATGACATACATTTCGCCTTTCCTTTAATGTAGGAAAGGTCTAAAACCTTAGGGTGGATCAGTCCACATTAGGTTGCGTTAAAAATATGGGTCAAATAATGAAACAAAACATTTGTCCAAATTTAAAAATAAAATTAAAAACACTATTGATGTTTTAGATTTTGTCTGATATTTTCAGCTGAAGCATTTTGTGTATGCATTTAAGGTATGTAAATGGCCTTTTTATTTTATTTCCATCCACAATTCATGTCTAATTCAATTCAATTCAGTTTATTTATATAGCGCCAATTCACAACACATGTCATATCAATGCACTTTACAGTTCACCAGATCATACAATCAAATTGTTTGTCAGTTTTCTATCTATAGAAAAAACAGGCCGACCACCAACATCTATAAACAAAGGTGTTGATGGCAGCAGCAGAGCTGATATTTCTCTCCAAGGTGCTACAGCCAAACAGGAACAGACGAGGCAAAGCTACTATGAGAAAAGGCAGAGAGAGCATAATGTTAGAGATTGAACTAAGAGATTCTGCAGAGTGGAAGAATAGAGATAGAATGAAGCAAAATGATGAAAATAGGGGTCCCTATGTCCTCCAGAAGTCTAAGCCTATAGCAACATAACTATAGAGATAGCTTAGGATAATTGCGTGACATAATATTTAAAATATTTTTATCAGCATATTCTTTGATTTAGTTAGTTTAATCCAAAAATATGCATTTAGGCAATTAAAGAGACAAAAAAATATATTATATAGATTGTAAAATTATTCTTCACAGTTATTCCATATTTGTTTTAGTAAACTGTTCATGAGGTTGCTTGAGAGATTTTATTCAATTGCTTTCCTATTAGTCATTGAGATCACAGAGGCAAAGAAGTGGTGTATTTATACACACATAGTGACTGTAAACAGTAGTTTATGGATGAGTGGGAGAACAGAGAGATCACACTCATCCATGTGATGAGTTCAGCTCTGAGGTCAACACTGAGGTCAGCTCTTTCCTACGGTTGGATTTTTTTTGAAAGAACCGGTTGGATACTCGCAGCTCTCCTCGCGACCAATCGGAAGTGAGTATTTTTCGCGCTGGTCGGCTCCGGAGTTTGAGTTTCCCGCAAGCTTTTTTCACTCGTCTTGAATGAAATGATTCGCTTTCCAGGATGAAAACGAACATTTTCTCCCTTTAACCACACCAGAGGATATTCGACAGGTAAGCTTATGGACGCTGTCTTCTATGGCATTGTCAATTCGAAGATGTTAGCGGGGAGGAGTTTTTTTCACGGGACAGTTGTTCAGGCCGGGGCTTCCATTTTAGCATGCTAACGATGCTAATGTTAAGTATGCAGTTTGGCTTGGCTTCTATGGGATGCTAGTTAGCTCCGGCTAGCATAATGGTTAGCTTTCTTGGAGCAAGCTGTCATGGCGCCTACAAATTAAGCATATCTCTGAAATAATACATAAACATCTTAAATACACTAACCTACTCGCTATACTAACTTCCGTTATTTCCGTGCAGTTGTTTGAGCCCCTTTCCTCAAGTTAACACATTTTAGCACTCTGATGGCGGCTTTGTCTGTTTGCTGGAGTCCTGTGTAATGGCTGACTATTGATGGCATGAGATGCGGCCAGATGCTTGAATCCATGCATCAGTTCTTTCTCTCCAGGTTATAGTCGGAGCCTTTCTTGCATGACATGATGGCTAAAAACTGCTGTCCTTTGCTAGCCAGTGTAAGCGGCTGTTTTGACGCCAAATATAGTATGTTAGCCATGCTCTTATGTTGCTACTGACAATGTTATCCACGTTATAACTAAAGGTTTATTTTATTTTTCTAATTCGACTTGTAAAAACATTGAATTTCATCAGTTATTTTGACTCCAGTTGCTTCACTCCTGCTTGTCAGCTGCGTCAGTTTCCGCGGCTTTTAGGTGGATGTTAGCGGTAATTTACCACCCACTCAGAGGGTTTCTGCTGCTTACAGAGGAGCCATCGTTCCGCTTGGCCCCAGTCCACAGCTAGCATCTTAGCCAGTAGTCTCCTAAGACAACCTGTGATGAGAGAATTTCCGGATGCACTGACTGTATTGCCTCCCTTTTATGATGGATAAAACCGGACATAAATATGAGCACACTTCAGTATTTTTTGTGGTCAGCATAATTCTTATCTATTAACTTCAGTTTTTACCATTATGGAATGCAATTGGTTAAACGTTGTTTTGTCAAACAAGTAAATTTTTCTGTGAAATGCTCCAAACGATAATAAACTGTCTCCTCCAAGCTATGTTGAGAAAGGCCCTGAACAAGGTTGGATCTAGGAGCCCTCATACAGTTAAGGCCTCCACCACAATGTCACTGATCTTTCTTGTATAGGCTTTGTTCTGAGTTTTCCAAGATGTTTCAATAATGCTGGTTTAAAAAAGAAAAAGAATTCATCCGTCATATATATATATATATATATATATATATATATATATATATATATATATATCACTGTCAGGTTAATTGGCTTCTCTAGATTCTCCTTAGGTGAGAGTGTGTGTCTCTGCAATGGACTGGCGACCTGTCCAGGGTGTACCCCGCCTCTCGCCCGTAGACAGCTGAAGATAGGTACCATGCACCCCTTGCGACCCCAATTGGGGCAAGCGTGTCGGATAATGGATGGATGGATGGATGGACCTGCAACCTTCTTGCTGGAAGACTGCAGTGCCACCCACTGTGCCACTGAGCAGCCCTATATAGGGCTATATATATATATATATATACAGGTGCTGGTCATAAAATTAGAATATCATGAAAAAGTAGATTGATTTCAGTAATTCCATTTAAAAAGGGAAACTTGTATATTATATTCATACATTACATACAAACTCATATATTTCAGATGTTTATTTTGTTTAATTTTGATGATTACAAATGACAACAAATGAAAATCTCAAATTCATCATATCAGAAAATTAGAATATTGTGAAAAGGTTCAAAATTGATGGCCCCTGGTGCCACACTCTAATCAGCTAATTATATATATATATATATATAGCTATGTGTGTGTGTGCACCTTTTCTTCCTTTAGCACCATGTTCTTCTTTTTGACTATTGAACCAATGTTACAAATACATTTGTCCACTGTGAGATCAATAAAGTAAATTATTAAAGAGCCAACGGTGTATTTAATCTGATGTTTTTTCCTGCTGATGGGTTGAATGTGGGAAATTACACCCAAGTTATTCATGTTTAAACCCAAAATTTCACAAGTACATCTTGAAATATCTTTTGGTTTTGTTTTATGCCAAAGAAGACATATTTTGAATACTGTGGTGTGTTTTTCCTATATTGTAAGCCATTGTGTCTGCCTAGTAAAGTTATAATTTTTTTCACACTTTTTAGGTCCACATTTGTGTGAAAAATTTTACTCTAATGCTGCTGTAATGCCACAGTTTCTCCATAGTGTGACAATTAAGGGGTTTTCTATTCTATTTTAAAGGAAGCAATTGGTGAAGAACATAGAAGTTTATAACAACAAATAGATTTTCTTTAGTGAGGGCTGCTCAAGGCTGCATCCTCTCATTAACATTAGTACTACAAAGAAACATGTTATGCATGCTTGTAAATATTATGTCTTTTTTATTTGAGCTCAGTGCAGTAGGTGCTCACAGCTGACAGATGATACTAAGGAGGGCAGTTTATGATGGAAACAATAGTATACCAGTTCAGTTTCCCATATACTCCTTAAGCATTTGCTTTAGGGTATTTTTCTGCAGTTAAAGATGCGTTCAGTTATTTTAGTCCCTTCACATCATTTAGTAAAAAGCTGCCGCTTTGAAAAAAAAGCATACTGCTTTAACATCTTTTTGTGTTTGTTTGAATCCCATTTTACTTCCCTCTATCTGATGTCAGAGTAAAACATTTGATGCTAGATTAAAATAGAAAAAGATCAACCTTCAGGCTATTTAGAAATGAGAACTGCACTGCTTTGATTTGGTTATATCCTCCATTTAAGTATAATGAAGCATAAGAAATGTCCTTCCCATTCGATCATTTACTGGAGCAGTTTTCTGATTGCTAAGTTCTAAGTTGTGATAAGGAGGTCTTTGATCACTGATCTACTTAAAACCACTTGATGCACATGAAGTGTCTATAAATTACCACTGCTTGCACTTCAAACTGTGACACTTTCTCTTAGAAATAGTTTTACTCGTATGTTTTCTCTGAGCTCATATCTTTAGATTCTAATAATTAAAATAAAGGATTCATTAAGTAAATGATTTTCTTCATTTATGCATCAAGGCACACACCTTAAAACATGATCTGATTCTTATTTAACTCTTAACACTGCATCAAAGTGCGGTCTCAGCCCTTTGGTTTCGATACATTTAACGTATAAAGAAAACTTTTTTTGTTTGTGTCAACAGATACATGCTACTTATCCATAAAATCTGATCAAAGGGGAATTGAATCTGTTTTCCTCCTGCAGATCGGTGAGCCTGGACAGGTTAGATGGGATGGACAGCATCGGTAGCTCACTGCCTGCGATGCCTGAACCAGCCAACCCCATCAGCATGAAGCAGCCGCCTGAGTCCTTGAGTGTTCGTAAAGGCCGGGGGGACATGGGCAGCGACCCAACACTGCTGATGGATAAAGCCGCCGCACAGCTCGCTGCTACACTACAGGATGGTGTCCTCCAGAAGATGACAGGCCACAATCATAACCATAACCACGAGAGGCTGAAAGACCTCACCTCCCTGGTGCTAAACGGTGACCAAGACACTCTGCCCAATGTTTGTACTCCAGAACCATCGATGCTGAAAGGTGACGAAGCCCCCGCTACCAACGATGCCCATCAGCACAACTGCACACCTCACGCTGAACGAGAGTCGAAGGTGACCATCCCTCAGGTGGTGGATCAGCCACTGTTCGAACCAAATGGAACCAGCTTGGTCACAGCTACTGAAAGCGCTTTACCTGGAGCTGAAGACCGACAGGAAGTGAAGAAGAGGAGGGGGAGACCCAACAAACCCAAACCTACCATAAACTGTAGTTCCTCCATCATCGCTGTAGAGCCGCTTGACTGTCCAGAGGTTACTGAAGATATGGAAGCAGAACAAGAGGTTTGTCTTGTTTTTTTTCTGTTTCACGAGAAAAAAATCTAAGAAATAGAAACAAAATGTTTCTATTTTTTTCTGCTACTATAGATGCCTAGACAAGAAAATAAAGACATTTAAGAGCAGGTGTCCTAAAAGCCCATACTGTCTTCAATGATTATTATATTAATGTGTTTCCTAAAGTATTTCACTTTTAAGGATTGGAAGTATACTGAACAGACAGTTTTCTATGTATGAACTCATTTTCTAGACACAGTTTCACATTTAATAAATGCCCATATTCTGGCTGGTGTTGAGCTGGATGTGTCAGAATGCACTGTACAAACCTTAATGAGTCAATATTTCTTGAAATCGGTAAATGTTCCCTTGTTTTAAGCTGGTAAGACGATTTGCCAAAGGAATTATGTGATCTGCATTTAAAATTAGAAAAAAAACAACTTCATTATATCATTTAGGTGATTCATATATCTAAGTTTTTTTTTTTTATATTTTAAGGGCAGATATACTCCCTATTGGTAGATGTTCTTATTTTCCTGCTCAATTTAAGGGCATATGCACTTTTTAAGAGATTTTTACGTGCTGAAGAGCAGATGATGATTAAAAACAACTAAAATGGATAAAATTATAATGGAACAAATAGTACAGCGGGGTAAAACATTTTAAAGTCACAAAAAAAAACAAAGATATCAGATTTGTCTCTGATTCCAAATGTAGAAAATTAATCTTTACAGATCTGAGATCATATCGGAAAGCTGCAGTGTTTTCTATGTAGGATGTGACACAACTGGTTAGAGAACCAAAGCTGGCATAGTTAAAAGAACCTTAGGGAATTCAGGAAGTTGGTTTTTACATCTCAAGTTGTGTGTTTTTTTTGTTTTGTTTTTTTCCTTTTTCTGATCATTTAGGTGGGGGCTATTCCTGCTCTTCAGCCTATAATACAACCTCTTCAGCCCGTATTGGGAACTCTTCAGCCTATATCAGAACCCCTTCAGCCGGTAACAGAACTTCTGCAGCCGGTGTCGGAACCTCTTCGACCTGTATCCGATCCTCTCCAACCCGTATCCGATCCTATCCAACCCGTATCCAATCCTATCCAGCCCGTATTCGATCCTCTCCAACCCGTATCCGATCCTCTCCAGCCCGTATCCGATCCTCTCCAGCCCGTATTCGATCCTATCCAACCCGTATCCGATCCTCTCCAGCCCGTATCCGATCCTCTCCAGCCCGTATCCAGTCCTCTCCAGCCCGTATCGGATCCTTCCCAGCCTGTATCGGGATCTCTCCAGCCCGTATCAGATCCTCTTCCGCCCATGTCGGATCCTCTTCAGCCCGTATTGGAACCAATGAGGCCAGTGAAAGAGGAGCCTCATCCGTCTGTACGTTTCTCTGTTGGTGATCTGGTTTGGACCAAGGTGTCAGGGTACCCATGGTGGCCCTGCATGGTAACCACAGACGCTGAACTCAACAGCCACTTCAAACCGAAACAAAAGGGTGAGAAACAAAAAAGGAAACGGCTTTGGTTTTGTCTGCAGCATAAAGTAGTGACCATTCCATGAACATCGTCTTTGTTTATTTCAGCCACCAGCAGCAGGTTAGGGCACCTTTACCACATCCAGTATTTTGGTGATGCTCCGGAAAGAGGCTTCGTCTTTGAGAAGAATATGGTGTCCTTTGCTGGGGAGGAGCAGTATCTTGAGCTCAACCAGAGAAAGAAGCTTCCAGCCACCACTGCAACCCGTAGAAAGGTAACTTCACTTTAATTTAGTTTAAATTCAATTCAGTTTATTTATATAGAGCCAATTCACAACACATGTAATCTCAAGGCACAATAGATTAACTGATCTGGAAAACACCTGGATTAGTTTACCGCTTGAAATTTGGAATAAGGTAATAACTCAAAGGAATTTGAAAGAAGAGATTAAAATACTGAGATTGTGTGCATTTGATCCAGATTTCATACCTAAAAATCTAGACATAAGATTCAAGACCTGGAAATCCTGAGGATTAACAGCATATTTTATTTTACTATGTAAGGGGTCAGTGACCCGTTTTTAAAATCTAAAGACCGGCACAAAAAAACATCTCAAAACTCTATAATAGTTTGCCACAAACGAGGGGCATAACACTGCATGTAATGCAGAAATTGGAGAGGGAAGGCAATCTAACTTTAAGTGACGAGGAATGGGGGAAAATTTACAATGGAAAACTTCTAACTCAAGTCAATAGAGATAGTTTTGTTGGAAAAACCTTTGGAGATTCTTTAGCACTCCATTTCAAAAAAGATCCTATACCAATTCATCAATATGTTTGAGGCGATGCAGGGGCCTGTAAGCGAATCATTATCACATATTCTGGTTTTGTCCGATATTGTTACCTTTCTGGCAGGAGATCTACAATATTATGCAAAATGTATTTTAGACATATTAATTTTGAGTTTGTGTCATTATATTTTGCTATTTTACAAAATGTATTCTCAAATGACAAATACTTATTTCAGATGCTAAGTGCGGCTTTTAGAAAAGCTGTAACCAGGAAATGGTTAAAACTAGAAAGACCTACAGTGGATGAATGGTTTAACATTATTTATAACATCTTTGGGATGAAAAGAATTACTTTTGTTTTAAGACTAAAAAGATAGGATAGATGGATCAGATATTTCACTCTGATCCGCCCATCCTTTGTATAGCTCTTGTATCCATTTCCCCCTTCTTTCTCTTTTTTTTTTTAGGCCTTTCCTTTTTAACCCTTATGCATCAGTAAATTATTTACTTATTTTTTCCATTGTATAACTGAAGTGCACTCTAGCATTTTTTGGTCTTAGCCAAAGGAGTTTGGAATCTTTGTATGTTATTATTTTTTTTTCCTGTGGGTGTGATTGAGGGAGAAACAATCATCCCTGTCTGTATATCCTGTGGAATTGTGGATGTCTATCTAGACAATGCTGTTGTAATGAACAGATAGCTGGAGATGACTGGTGTGTTGTTTAACAATTAAATAACAATAAAAATAGAATTTGTTAAAAAAAACCAACTATTTGACTAACTGAGGTATTAAATTAATAATACCTCAGTTAGCAGTTTGACTTCAACAATTAAAGGCAGCTCTAAACAAAAGGGTTTTTAACTTTGACTTAAAACAACTCCGGCATTCAGCACTTTTCCATCCTTCTGGGAGTTTGTTCCAGATAAGTGAAGCATAGGAACTAAATGCTGTTTCTCCATGTTTGGTTCCAGTTCTGGGTGAACAGAGTAGGCCAGAACTAGAAGACCTGAGTGGTCTGGTAGGTCGAAACACTGACAACAAATCTTTAATGTGTTGAGGTGCTGGTCCATTCAGTTATTTATAGACTAACAGAAAGATGATTTAAAGTATATTCTCTGAGCTACAGGGAGCCAGTGGAAGGACTTCAGAACCCGGCTGATGTGCTCTACTTTCTTAGTGATAGTGAGAACACGAGCAGCAGCATTTTGGATCAGCTGCAGATGTATGATGGGCTTTTTAGGCAAATCTATGAAGACACTGTTACAGTAATCAATTATATTTAAGATAAATGAATGAATGTGTTCTTCTAGATCCTCAACAGTCTTTTAATCCTTGGGATGTTCTTCAATTGATAAAAGGCTGACTTAGTAACTGCCTTTAGTCCCTCTGAAGGTTCAGGTCTGAGTCCATTATGACACCAAGATTTTGGCCACATTCAGTGGTTTCTAGCTGTAATAGCTCTATTTGTGAGCTAACTCTGGATCTATCCTCCTTTGGTCTGAAGATTATCTTTTTTTTTTTTTTATTCATTTGTAGAAAATTATGGCACATTTACATACTGATCTGTTCTAAGCATCTAACCAACTCTCTTATGTGTTCATAGTCACTTGGTGACATTGTGATGTAAAGCCGTGTGTCGTCTGCGTATGGTAACTGATCTTGTTGTTTGTTATAACCTGAGCCAAGGGGAGTATGTATATGTTAAATAGAAGGGAGGATTGAGGAACCCCGCATGTGATTTTTCTAGTCTCTGATTTAAAGTTTCCTACTGATTCCAATGGTATAAAAATGTAAATTAAATTAACTTATTATTTTAAGCCCCTTTGCTTTACCACAGCAATAAAACCATCCGATTCCAGAAGTCAGCTTCTTCACTTGCTGCTTTTTCTTGAAATAAATTTATTTTCTGCTGATTTTTAGCAGGTAAAACAATATGCTATTAGAATGACATCATTTACATTTCAATAAAGAAAACTTGATATTCTTGTTTTGAGTTTCATAGTATCTGATTATATAAGAGACTTAACCCTTTATAACCAGTGGGGGCACCAGCATTCACATTTGCCTATCTGTATTTAGATACTTGTATAATTCCAATCAAATAAGACTTTTTCTTTTTTTCTCCAAGTCAAACCTGAGGGATAAAATAAAACACTTCTACTGACAGAGTCCCAGAGCGCAATTTTCCTCCAGAAACTTTAGTTATGATTTAGCAAAAATCCAATAAAGACGGCCAAAACAAATGTTATACTCCAGACCGCTGCAAACTTCCTAAATTGCAATATACGTGATGTAATTGGTAACTTTTTCGTGTTTTTGCTACCTGCCACTGACCAGGAAAAAACTGGAAGTGATGCATATTTTTCACGGGAGTTGAAATTTATTTCCAGTAAACAGCTGTCTTTTTTTTTTCCTCACTTGCACTTCTGTTTTCGTCTCTTCTCGTCTTTTATCCTAATCCTTGTTATAGTAGTTTCACTTCCTATTCAAACACATTAACACCTCAGATAATCAACAGAGACCAGCACAACCCCACGCACACTCGTGGAGCCGCAAAAAGGGGGACGCGTCTACTGTTTTTTACTTCGATGTATCCGATAGTGCTGATTCACTAAGTAAGTTTGCTGTAATGAACAGCTACCTGTTGCACAAGGAGCTGTGAGGCGGACTTGATCGGTCAGCAGGTACCAGAGACCTGTCAGCACATCCCTGTAGCCATTGCTGAGGTAGCATCAGTCTCCAAGGAAGACACACAGGGATAAAAACAGAAAATAAACATCACCCTAAAGTCACTGTCTGCATGGTGGAACATGGAGGTGGAGGTGTGATGCTTTGAGGGGCTCATCTTCAGCACGAACAGGGAAGTCTCAAAAGACTGGTGCTGAAGTCCGACTTTAAGCAGGATATTTTGGTGAAGATTCATCCTGGTCAGTCATTCCAAAAAAGAAAGTTAAAAACCATCCAATCGACTTTGTTGATTGGACAAAGTTGAACCCTTGATCTACCTCAACACAACGTTGAGGTAGATCAAGGGTTAGAAGTTCTTGAGCAAGCCTACAATATTAAAAAGTCCATAAACATCTAATTTATCTTTTGTCTCATTTGCAGAGGGTTACTTCCGTGCCACGCAACCTCCAGGCTCAGTGGAAGATTGGTGTAATACAGGCCAAAGAAGCCCTCAGCATGTCACCGGACAAACGCATAGAGAATTTTGGATTTATTTACGATGCCGATGGACCTCATCTAAACCCTCTCATTGCTGAAAAGTTAAAGGAAGATCCGACCAGCGAGATGTGCCAAGAGACAGAATCCAGGCTTAGCCAAGATGCCCCCTCGGTGCCGGTGAGTTCTCCTCAGCTCCTTCATCTCAACAAGTCTTTGAGCATACAAGCAACAATTTTTAAAGCTAAAAAAACAAACTTGTAAATATTTTAACAGCAGTTAAAAAGTGAATTGGTTTTACTCTTGACAGTTTGCAGTCTGCTTCAGAAAGCATGAGTTAAATGTTTTATTTTTCTCCCTAGAATCCCTTAGCTTTCCCTCCGGGTGCACAAACTGAAGCATTTGAACCACGGAAGAAAAAGAGACAGCCCAAAACAGCCCGACGGGCTCCGAAGTTGGGAAGAAGGAAGAGGACATCTCCGGTGAACAGGGTTCTTAACCCTACAAGGAGAAGGAAAGCAAAGCTGGTTGCTTCCACTGAGGACTCTGAAGACGCCTCGATTCAGGTTTCTGCTCCAGGTAAGCTGAAAACAAGGAAACTTTTTTTTATTTTAATCAAAATCCTGCTGGCTAGTAATTAATATTGTTCTAGGAATGGTTCTAGGAATATTTCTAGGAATGGTTCTAGGAATATTTCTAGGAATGGTTCTAGGAATATTTCTAGGAATGGTTCTAGGAATAGTTCTAGGAATGGTTCTAGGAATAGTTCTAGGAATGGTTCTAGGAATAGTTCTAGGAATGGTTCTAGGAATATTTCTAGGAATGGTTCTAGGAATATTTCTAGGAATGGTTCTAGGAATATTTCTAGGAATGGTTCTAGGAATAGTTCTAGGAATGGTTCTAGGAATAGTTCTGGGAATGGTTCTAGGAATAGTTCTAGGAATGGTTCTAGGAATATTTCTAGGAATGGTTCTAGGAATACTTCCAGGAATATTTCTAGGAATATTTCTAGGAATACTTCCAGGAATATTTCTAGGAATAGTTCCAGGAATATTTCTAGGAATGTTTCTAGGAATAGTTCTAGGAATGTATGGGTAACAGAAGCAGAAGAGCTTGCCAATATTGAAGATTTGAAATGTAGGCTGATATAATCCAATATAAATTTTTTGGCTGAGATCAGACTGGGGTGTCTGGTTTTAACAAGCTAGCAAGGCTTAGTTTTGGTCAATTTACAACCCTTTAATGACCAAGAAAAGTCCTGCGTGGTCTGTATCCATTTATTGAGGAACACATATCTGAAAAGTGGGGATATAACTTTACTGTTATATCCCAAAAATAAATTTAGCTTCACTGTGTGTCTTGAGAATGTAATAATTAATGTAATTTAACCTTCAGCTGTTCTGTGGAGGCCTCAGTAATGCTGCAAAGAACTAACAGAAGACCAGAGAAATGGAGACCATATTCTTTTCAAAATGGCCTTAATTTCCTAAGCTAACTTAATAAATCTTGCTTGTTGAAAAGTTAACGAAAATTAGTAACCTCAAACTAAATGATTTTCATCCTTTTTAGCTTTTTCCACTTTATTTATTGACATTTTTTTAAATTTAGCATTTGATTGGTTTTGGTTTTGGTTTTAGGGAGAAGAGAACCAAAAAAGAGGCCTAAAAGACCACTGACGGAGGCCGGGGTGGACAAGGATCAACAGCCTAAAAAGAGACGTAGAACCGTGAAGAAAGCAGAAAAACAGGTCTGTGCAGGAACTTCTGAAGCTGCAGCTTTGCAGTGGAGGATTTTTCACAGAGAACGTTTTCTGCCATCACACTCATGCAAAGTTAACTTTTCCAGGTCTTGGTGTCAGACGAGACAAACAAAAAGCGGAGAAGAAAGAAGAAAATCGACATCAAAAATCTTAAGGAACCGAGAAAACGAACTAAAAAGTCAAAAGGTTTATCTAATTTGAGACCACCATCTGATCACCCAATTTAAATTATATGTTTTTGTTTATTGATCAGTTTTATCTCTTTAAAATTTTGTTTGTGTCAAAAACATTATTGATAACAAATGTTTGAATCGAAACAGATGAGGCAAACTTGGAGAAACCAAAGCGGCGTAGGAAAAGAAAGCAGGATGGGGAGAGCCAGGCTGCAGCCTCTAAGGCCAAGAAGAGGAGGTCGTCTCCCTGTCCGGACACCGAGGTCAGTCAGTATAACATGTGGTACCCACAGCAGGCTGGGAAGATTTCTTTATTTTATGCATAAACTCCTCCTCAATAAAAGATTGTATTTCAATGTCTTCAGCCCAGAAAACATCTATGTCCAACTTTAGAGAGAGTCTGGAAATGTATTTCACTTGATTTAAGTGAAATACATTTGATTTGAAAAGAGGAGTACTTTCCCTAAATCCCTAAATATAAGCAGGTAAATAAGATGATCTGCCAATAAAATGAGTATTTATTTCACAACAAGGAAATACAGATATTGGATTTGTTTTTTCTTCTTTTAAATGTGAATCATCCCATTTCTTTAGCAGATTGTCTTATTTATCTTTTCAAATCAAGTGAAGTTACACTTATTGCAAGAAAAACTGATTTGCAGTAAAATCGCAGTTCAATTCTTAGATAGACGATCCCTCCACTCTTGGATGACATGAAAAGGCTTTAGGAATGTTGTAAATGTGGAGGTGTGAGCTTGGTGGTGGCGTACAGCCTAGAGCAAATCAGAATATTGATCAGTCATATTGATCATCAATATTGAAACAGAACAAAATTCCTCAAATGCAGTGATGCTAACTTTCTGTACAAAGTGGTTCTCCTAATTGTCAATCATTCTGGTGATATGTTTACGCCAGGCCGTCCTATGTGCTTGTCCCCATTTTCACTTACCGGTTGTGAGTAGTGTTGCGCCGATACCGATACCAGTATCGGACGGGGCCCCGATACTGCACTAAAATGGTGGTATCGGTATCGGCGAGTACTAACAAATAGGGTACTGATACCATTTCAAGAGCCAAAAGTTTCTTCAACTATTGTCACCCATTCCAGGTATGCAATAAAAAGTTCTACTGGATTCACTTTGTATTAGATTTTTTTTTGACAAAGCCATGATGGGAATTATTTTACATTATTATGGTATCGGTATCGGCCGATACTGCACAGCCAGGTATCGGGTATCGGTATCGGGGCCAAAAAATGGCATCGGCGCAACACTAGTTGTGAGTCTGTGAAGTGGAGAGGGCGGGTCTTTTCGCAAACTCGCGAAAATCCTCCACTATACCTTTAAGGCATACCTGTAACATTTTAAAAGCTGCAAAAATAAAGATATAATGAAACATTGTTTCACTTATTGTACATAGAGTGAAATGTTTCAAGTCTTTATTTCTTGTAATTATTAGTGATGGGTCCAGGGACACAGATACACCGGCGCATGTGTTGATCTCTAACAGCAAACCTGTCTGCGCGCTAATCATTTCATAATGTCACTTACGTTTTCTTTTTGTTACCAGAAACATCCTCAACAACTCTGTGTTTCCTCTTAATGTGATTGTGCATCATGTTTGTGCTCCCATGATAAGCCTACGAAGATTTAGAGTGTACAAACCACTCTATCAGAAAGTATTACCATATTTTGGTCTTCAAGCAGATGCCTCTGTCCCTGATTCAGAATCACCTGCCACTGCCATTTTTGTATCACGCTCTAAACCAGAACCAACAGTAACAGAAGCTCATGACAGGACAGGAAAAGGGAGCCGATTTGCCAGCGCTGTGCGCACAGCAACACTAGTGCTGTGGGGTGGAATTACCTGAACTGAGAGGAGCCGTTTGCTCAGACCAAAAGAAATGGGTGATTAAAAAGGCTGACTAAAAAATAGTCATCGACGAAAACAATTTCCTTTGACGAATTTTTCGTCAATATGTTGACTAACCGCGACAGCACTGTTGTTGACCTGATTTTGAGGAAGTGTCTGCTGCTCACTGTTTGATTCCTGGATTGTTCCTGCAGGGCTCTGCAAGCGAAGAACGGCCTGATTCCCCGAGTGACAGCTTAGACGGGATCAAGAAGGGAGAACGGAAGAAAGAGTCCGTCTGTCAGGTAGAGCTTCAGTGACTGATCAACACTTTGTTTTACTTTGTAGATTTGTCCTTTTCACTTCATCTGATCTGTTTCTTTTCTACCTTGAAACACTGAACAGTTTACATGGTTTGCTCTGGGTTCTCTACAGATCTGTGAGGTGGCTGGTGAGGACTTGGTTCCATGTGAAGGCCAGTGCTGCGGCATGTTTCACCTCCACTGTCTCGGCCTCACCCTGAAACCCGACAACAAGCTCCTCTGCCAGGAGTGCATCACAGGTGCGTAGATGAGAGCAGCGACGCAGGAGGTGTTGAACCATCTCTCTGGAGTGACGCTTTTAAAACATTGTTCCTCTGTGTTCTGGAAAAGTCTTTCCGTTTCTCCCTCGATCACCTGATTTATTCCTCCAAATGAACATAAATCCGTTTCTTTTCACCCATTTCTACAACCAATCGTCATTTTATCCTTCCCTCTGTCTGCCCCTGTCAGCCATCCATCTTTGTTTTCTACCTTGCTTTTATTAATTTTCCATCATTCTTTTCTCTTACTCATCCGTCTGATGACCCGCCCCCCCTCTGTTTCACTTATTGATTAAGGTTTGAACTTAGGATGTCTGTATCAATATCTGACATGAATATTTTTTATGGCCGATAACCAACTTTATATAATTTTCTACCTTTCGGACATGGTAAAAAAAACCCTAAACATCCATTGCTGTCATTGCTTTAGTAAAACAGTCAATCAGCCCAGGTTTATCCGACCAATATGTTTTAAAAATGACCAACATCAGCCTGTTTATTATGCATCCTCAGTTACAACCATCTGTTCTTCTCTAATTTGGCTTTAAATTTAAAAAAGTATTTTTAAGGAATTGAATCAGTGAATTTGATCGTGGAAAATTTCATTCTGCCATGAACCTGTTGGATGACTTTGGTTCTGGTTTTCCTTCTCAGGGCTCCACTCCTGTTTCATCTGCAAGCAGCCTGGCGCCGAGGTCCGCCGCTGCCACGTCCCTCACTGTGGCAAGTTTTACCATGAGGGCTGCGTCCGCCTCAACCCGCTCACTGTGTTTGATAACAAAGGCTTCCGCTGCCCTCTTCACACCTGCCTTAGCTGCCACTATGGCTGCCGCACCAAACACAAGGCTACCAAGGGTGAGGCTCGTCTGCTTTAGCTCAGGAGCAAACGTTAGCATTGGAATGTAGAAATAACGAGGTTATGATGGCGTTTTGCGCTGCAGGAAGGTTGATGCGTTGCCTTCGGTGCCCCGTGGCGTACCATGTGGGCGACCTGTGTGTTGCTGCTGGAAGCGAAACCATCACAAACTCGGCCATCATCTGCACCAACCACTTTAACGCCAAGAAGGGCTACAGCCACCACAGCCACGTCAACGTCAGCTGGTGCTTCGTGTGCTCCAAAGGTTTGACACCACACTAATAATATTTTTATAAAACCATCTTTCTTTCAGATGAAGTCGCACATTTCACTTCAGGAAACATTTCTATAGTTTAAACTCTACGTGCATATAATCATTGTATCCTCACTTTGTTTGTTCTTCTTAACACCAGTTTACTTTCACTTTGGGATCAATACGTTCATAATCAGAAACATCTGTTTATCCTCCCATCTGGCTTTAGACGTTATGAACAAGAACCTTATTGTATTTCAGTTGGAATCAAATGGATCAGAACGTTTCCTTTTTTTCTTTACTGATTTTCTGTTTTTTATTTTTATATTTACATAACCCTTTAAAGCCCGATCCAAGAATAAAACAAAACAGAAAATTAGTTTTTTTTGGTTTGAATTCCTTTTAACAAAATATGTAATAAGAAAAAACAGAAATACATTTTTTATATTAATAATTAATTACTATGCGATAAGTCAAGATTATTTTTTGTGTAGTCTTCTGCCCTCTGTTATCAAGTATATCTAATTGTGTGCAATAGGATTTTGAGCAAAGTTTTTACCATTAAATTATGCAAAAGGTGTCAGACACAAAACATTTCAGAAACCGTATGTATCAAATATGATACATTTGGCATTACAGGATTAATTTCCGATGTGCCTATGTGTTTATTCTTAATAACTGGACGTTGAACCATGGAAGCACAGCTACATGCTAATTATTTTCAGGCCCCAACTTTGCTAGATTTTGTTGTTTTTAGATTTTAGAATTGGGTCCGAATATGTGGACCGAGATAATATTTCTGTGAGACCTTTGATGTTTAAAGGAAGCTAAAATAACAGAATTGACTTGATATTTCTGCTCTGGGTCGTTCCTCCACTCTTCTGTTTTACCTTAAACCTGGCTGCATCTCCTTGTGTTGCAGGAGGACAGCTGCTGTGCTGTGAGTCGTGTCCTGCAGCTTTTCACCCCGACTGCCTGAACATCGCCATGCCTGATGGCAGCTGGTTCTGTAACGACTGCCGAGCCGGGAAGAAACCAAAGTACAGAGACATCATATGGGTCAAACTGGGGACATACAGGTAGGAAGAACTGGTCAGGGTTTCCTGTTCTGATAATATCACGATTCAAGTGAATGACGATCTGTTCCTTTTTACATTTGTTTGGTTAGATGGTGGCCAGCAGAGATCCACCACCCTAAGAACGTTCCCACAAACATCCAGCACCTCAAACATGAGATCGGAGAGTTCCCCGTGTTCTTCTTCGGCTCCAAGGATTACTTCTGGACCCACCAGGGTCGAGTGTTTCCCTACATGGAAGGTGACAGAGGTAGCAAATACCAGAAGAATGGAATCGGCAAAGTCTTTAAGAATGGTAAATATGTAGAGATTCATTGTTTTTAATGCTTTACTCTTTATTTTTGACTTGAAATAAATTCAGCTGGAACAGAACTTCCTTCTTATTCTCATTAGATCGTAAGAAATGCAGAAAGTCTCTCATTTAGAGATGTTTTTAGCATTCTGGCATATTTATAAGGCATTCCTGAGCTGTTTCTATTTGTTTCCAGCTCTGTCTGAGGCTGAGGCTCGCTTTAAGGAGATGAAGATGAAACGAGAAGCCAAGGAGGCACAGGAGAACAGCCGGAAACCGCCCCCATATAAGTTCATCAAGGTGAGCTCTGTTTCATACATTTCTACACAGACCTCCCTCTGCAGGAGGTTACATTTGTACATGTTTATGTTTGCAGGTCAACAAGCCTTTTGGCAAAGTCCAGGTCTACACTGCAGACATCTCTGAGATCCCCAAGTGCAACTGCAAGCCTGCAGACGATCGTCCGTGCGGCTTCGAGTCTGAATGCCTGAACCGCATGCTGCAGTACGAGTGTCACCCCCAGGTGTGTCCCAGCGGGGAGCGCTGCTGTAACCAAGACTTCACCAAGCGCCTTTACCCGGACACCAAGATCATCAAGACCCCTGGAAAAGGCTGGGGCCTGATAGCTCTGAGAGACATCAAGAAGGTATGGAGGTCAAAGGTGCTTCAGATGCATAAAACACAACTTTATTAGCTCTTTTTAATCAATGGATTTTAATTCTAATGGCTTTTAAAAACCTACTTCTCAAACAGATTTACTTTTATTTAGATTCCTTTGATTGTTAATCATTAAAGCTCTTAATAACACAGATTTTGATTTCATTCCCTGAGCCTCTGCTGTGTATTTTATCATAGTGTTAAAGTTTGGCACTGATTCCTGACGGCCGCTCAAGGTTAACCTTTGAGTGTAACTTTAAGTCATGAATATGTTTACTTCTAAACAGGGTGAGTTTGTCAACGAGTACATCGGAGAGCTGATTGACGAGGAGGAGTGCAGGGCGAGAATCAAGTACGCCCATGAAAACAACATCACCGACTTCTACATGCTCACCATCGATAAGGTGAGCGCCGGTCCAGCTGGGGCGTTTCTATTGGTCTGTTCTCTAGCTATGGTTATTTTTGTAAGACCCACCCTCTCCACTTAAAAAAAAAAAAATTCACATGCACAACCCTGTATCCGCTCCCGAGAGGGAACCGCTTATTAAACGTGTCTGAGAGCGTGCACAAGCCCATTTCTCCTCGTGCACGCTCTGTTTAAAAGTTGCTGTTTGAATCGTTCATACAAACTCAGTTTCCAAAAGATTTGTAATTTTCCCACTATGTCAGACTCGCCACCGGAAAGTGAAAATGGGGACGAGCACATAGGACGGCCTTACGTAAACATATCACCAGAATAATTGACAGTTAGGAGGATCACTTATTTTGATGATCCACCTAGAAAAAGATCATCCTCCACTAAACCTTTAACTGATTCAGAAGGCCCAATGAAGTTAGCAGAGAAGTCCTTCTGCTCTGCGGTGAATGGGGGTGTTGTTTTTCTGCAGCAGTGCCCGTTCTGCTGGGAGCTACACAAACGGAGCAGTATTGAATTGGGAATGTTGCATTGAGAGTGGAATGTAACATCACAGTATCAATACCTCAGATATTCAAATGATGACCTGATGGTTCAATTTAAATATAAGAAAATCAAAAGACAAAGTGTGAATAAGTGGTATAGAGGATTAGTTCTAATGTTCTAAAAGCATCTGATGGATTAACCTTTATCGGCTTCTCTTTGGGCTTCAAGGACCGAATCATCGACGCAGGTCCGAAAGGAAACTACTCTCGGTTCATGAACCACAGCTGTCAGCCCAACTGTGAGACTCAGAAATGGACGGTCAACGGAGACACTCGTGTTGGCTTGTTTGCAGTCTGCGACATACCGGCAGGTGAGACCAGTTCCCGTCATGTTAGTCACTCGGATGTAAGGAAAGTCCCTTCTTTCCTTCACATTAACTGGATTAAATTTTTTCTCATTCAGGAACAGAGCTAACGTTCAACTATAACCTGGACTGCCTCGGTAATGAGAAGACCATCTGTCGCTGCGGGGCTCCCAACTGCAGCGGCTTTCTTGGTGATCGACCGAAGGTGAGCGATGAAGCTGCTACGGTTGAAATACAAACACGGGTCAAAACTTTAAAACCAAACATGTGTTCAATTGCATTCAGTTATTTTAGATTGTGTGAATTCACAATACATTTCGCCTTAAAGTTGATTGAAAATCTTATTTTTCATTGTCATCAATACAGATTCCAGGTTAATTATGCATTTTTTTAATGAATCTTAGCTGTAAGCCTGCATTGAAAAACATTTAATGAAGAAATAAGTATATTTGCCCTTAATTTAAGTAGGAAAATAAGATCTGCCTGTGGCAGTATTTTTGGCCTTAAAAGATATAAATTTGAAAAAGACATCTTGTTCTTTACACATAAATATCTATTGGCAAATTGCCTTATCTGCGATAGATTTACTTAAATGTCGCTTTTTTGCACAGTGACGGCTCTATTTGGTCCAACTGCAGAGGGAAAGAAGTTATCATTTTTTATCGAGTATCGGTTCTTTAGTTTGACCTGCTTTCCATGTTGTAGTGCCGCCATCATTCAGAAGAGGGCGCTGATGCTCAGCCCAAAGCAGAGCCAAGTTATGGTTGTAAAGGAAATAATTGTGCCAGAAAAGAAACGTGAAACAATCTAAACAGTTTACAGTGCAGGATTATTTTACAGTTTATTGGCAACAAGGATGCAGAATGCACTTTATGGTTCTGAATATAAACACTGGATAATAGCTCCTTAGTAGAGCCTATTGAGCCATCCTGCATTATGAAGCAGTGGTAACTTCTTTAAGAAACCTTTGGTTATCGGACTATTAATCAATTAAGCGACAAAATAATCAACAGATTGATAGATTTGCAAAATAATCGTTATTTGCTGCCGGGTTCCCACCGGTTACCTGGCTGCCCAGGTCCAGGCGGTTACCTAACGCTGTCATTGTCTCTGTGGAAAGATAGGAGCCACATTGGGGATGAGAGGGGGGAAAAAAACATATTTCACATTTTATCCTTGACAGGATACAGTTTGAAAAAACCTTGTGCGAGGTTTTTTGATTTTTCAAAAAACCTCGCACAAGAAATGGAGGTTTCTGCGGAGGGGGCGGGGACGTCTTTTTATTCACTTCGACACCTATGCATACGACCTAGTTTCGAAGTATAAATCAGCCTTTTGTTTTTATGAGTTAATGCACTTCATTGAGGCGTTTCAACATCCATCTGAGAACAACCAGAACCACCTGTTTAAAATCCCTGCTGACGGCACTAAACGTCTCTCCTACCGCTGATTAGCCTAAAACAGAAAACTGTATCACGTTTATCGACCTCTTTATTAAAACATGGCGGCATGTAAAACATGACAGTATTTCAGTGCGACAACTTTCAGTATAAAGCTTAACATCTCTATTCATGGGATAAGGTGAAAATAGCTGACTTTTTGGTGCTTTTTTTTAAAACAGTTTTCTTTCTCCTTGACAGAATTCAAACGGTCACACGGAGCCAAAAGGGAAGCGGTTAAGGAGGAAGTATAGGAGGAGGAAAAGTGAGGGAAAGAAAAAGTCTGAAGACGAGTGTTTTCGCTGCGGTGATGGAGGACAGCTGGTGCTCTGCGACAAGAAGAACTGCACCAAAGCTTATCACCTGTCCTGCCTAAACCTCACCAAGAGACCCTTCGGTGAGCCGAGTCTCAGACTTCACACATCTTCAGCTTTTTGTTTAGCAGAATCCCTGATAATGTAACCAAGGGGCTGACATTTTCCCCAGAAATCTTCAAAGTTGTAAGCTTTACAAACATGTTTTGTTTTTAAGTATTTTCTCCCTTTGTTTTTCTTCCTTTTTTTTTCTTTGAAATAAAAAAAATGCATTTAGAGATTTGTGAGACTAATCTGTATACAATAACATCTACCAATTGATTTTTACTTAGATAAGATTAAACTATTGAAGGTTTCATTTGATCTTATGACAACTGGCAGCTTTTTAAGGACCGGTCATATGATTGGCCACAAACCTGCAGCGTTTGAAGCCTTAGCATAAATCCTTTTCATTTGTCCTGTTTTCCATTAAACATCTGCTCTTTGCTCCCCACAGGCCGCTGGGACTGCCCCTGGCATCACTGCGACATATGTGGGAAAAACTCTGAGGCCTTCTGTCAGCTCTGCCCCAACTCCTTCTGCAGGGCTCACCAGGAGGGGGCGCTGCGTCCCTGGCCCCCAACAGGAGAGCTGTGCTGTTCCGAGCATGAGGAAACTGAGGGAACCTCCACCCCGGCTCGGATTGTTAACTCTGAGACAAACGCCACAGCGGGCGGCCGTTCTAAAGGCTGCAGGAAGCCTGATGGAGCGGAGAGCAAAACCGAAGGCTCCAAGAGGAAAACAACAGACGCCTGAAATGACATACAGAGAGATGGACGCCTTCTCCACAGAAACCGAGGCACTGTATGTAATCATAATCAGGGAAAGGTGCTGACCTCTCACACTCAGCAGTGATCTTTAGCTTCCATGTTCATTTTTTTTTAAATCTTTAAATATTTTCAGGTTTTCTTGTACTAGTCTGCACTGAGATGTCCATCTGTGGTAAAGCACAAATCAGCAAAGCGACAACTGCTGACTTTCTACCAGCCAAACATTATCTGTTACTCGATTGTCAGAAAGGCAAAGCAAACTATTTCTGAAAGCTGATCCACATGGCAGATAGGATCTCAGTCCATGCCCTTTCAGAGTTCTATTAGTTATATATCTATGTTTATATCAGACATACCAAAATGGTGGTTACTGTAATATAGTAAGACACCAGACAGGTTGCCAACGGATAGTTGTTTTTGTTTTTATTTTCATTTTTAGATATACTCTATATGTTCCAGATGTAACATGAAACAGCAGGACACTATGGATGGGCCTCTGGAGTTCTTTGTGTAGCCATAGATCACATGTACGTGTAGAAATATTTGTTTATTTACCACCTGCTGTTTTGTTTTAGCTCAGTTTTTTATTTTATTTTAATATTTTGTTTTAATAACAGCACTGGAAAAAAAATCCTTTCCAGAATAGCAGGGATTACGGATTATAATGAAGAAAAGTCCTGTTAAACTGGTCTGAAACAAACACACTACAGGGAGGTTGATTATGGGATGTCAGAACCCAAGGTGCTTTACATCGTTCTGTGTCTTTAAAATGAGGTAGAGGATCTTTATTTTTTATCTTGCCGCCAACTTTGACCGGGAGTTCTGCTGATTTCGTAAGTTCTCGATCTTCTGTTATTTTTGTTTTTCCTCAGGAGGTTTTGGTCTCAAATTGTCACTCTGTTTACTGTTGGATAGTGAAACACTGGCCCCTCAGGCTGATGCTGTTTATCATCGAATTATGACGTTTCTCCTGATTTTCTAACTTGAAATAATAGAACCTTTACGCACACTATGGGTTTCACTCATTTCTGTCCCAGCTTCACTTTGAGCCACTTCCTGTTTTCAGGGCGTCAGGTTGTGAACCTGTGTGACCCGGTGTGCTGACAGGTACCAGCCCAAAGCAGAACACGACCTTCTAAGGTCCATATAGATCTAAAGCAGAGAGAAAATCAGATAAAACATGTTTTTTTCAGGATGTTAATCATTTAGAACTTAAAGTTTTTATTAATCGAATGCGGGATTAGATGAGCTGGGATTTAATCACATGGTGCTGCAATCCCCCCTTTACCTACCTCCTTGTCAATGTGAACTTCTGCAGCACCGGCCCATCACTGGCCTGGGGAAAAAGGGGGAGGGGCTAAATGTTTTCCAAAATGAGAACAGAACAAAGTTTTGTGGAGCAGAATGTTTCCCCGCCACTGCGAGTCTTTGAAGGGAAACAAAGCGGGCGCTTTGCTGAGAGTTCTGCTGATTGGACGCCTTCAAACCACTGCTTCACATCGTTAAGTGCACATTATGTCATGTTTAATATCTCAAAAATACTTAAGAATTTTGATGAGCTAATTTTATGGGCATTCCCCCTTCTGCTTCCCAGATTTCTAATCTTTTTGAATGGCTGCACCTTTTTTTTTTCAACTAATGCGAATGCGGACTCATCCACTGGTGCAGCAGTTCCATTTAGTCTTCATCCTAACCCTGTGTTGAGTGAATGTAGTCCAGCCAGTTGTTTTTTTTTTTTTTTTTTTGTAAGCACTGTAATTCCCTGTAGAGCTGAAGTGTCATGTGTGTGTAGACCTTTCATTTTATAACTACTGTCATAGAAAACCAGAGACTAATGTGTACATAATGTATAAGTGGTAATAGTGATTCATTTATTGTAAATATCATACTATTTCTTGGCCTTTTTTTTTTTTCTATGCAGTGCTGAAACACTTGTGCAGGATCTATTGTTAGTGAAACATGCAATAAAGCGATGAAACCGTTTAAATTCTGCCTAGTTTATTGAATGCCTTTCATGCTTTACCTATAAACTCACTCAGCATTGATGGAGATATGAGATAAAATTTTATACTAGTCCCATTCAAAACAAAACAGTGTTATAGAGAGCAATAATGGAAATTCTGGATAGTTAGACTCAGAGCCATATTGATGACTCCTAAGCCTAGTTATACAGCAAGAGTTAAACTTTCTGAATATATGTTAAAAAGGCTTGCCGTACTCCAAACTATTGTTTTGCAAATAGATTAATCTTTTTTTTTTTTTTTTTATAATTGGATAGCCAAAGGTTCCTTAACCCTTTATAGGGCACCCAGTGAAATACTTTGAAAATCCAAATTTCAAGCCAATAGTGTTATTGGAATCCAGGACAAGACCTTATTACCTTTGTAACATGCAAAAAATATGGATACTTTGATGGAAAAAAATGAATGTCAATGTAATAAAAAGAAAGGCCAACTTGCCTGAATATATTAAGAAAAATAACAAAATTGAACTTCTATAAGAAATTTAAGAAAAACTGAATGGGCATTAATACTGATACTGGCACTTACATTTTTTATTTATAAACCTAAATATGATTGTTAACTAGGCTTATTAACTTCACTTTTTGCGTTTTATTTACTAAACTTTTTTCATCTTAATTTCCAGTAGGTAATATATCATCCAAGGGCTCATCTAATTGGTCAAATGCCAAAATAAGATGTACAGCCATGTAGCAGTATCTGTGCTGAATGGCTGGGTATAGATCTTGTGCTTCTAGACCTCACTGAGCACTAGAAGTCTTGCATACCCCTAACTCACTTTTTTAGGGTTATGCAAGTGATCAAAAATGGTAACTTGTGCTATGAAGTGTTACAGAATTTTTTTTTTTACGAATTTAAAATGGATAAAACTAAAACTTTTCCACTTGAGTTCTGGATAGAGCGTATTGACAGAGGTTTTTTTTCATCAAAAAAAGTAAAAAAAAAATTTGCGATTTTGATATTACTGCTCTAATTGGGTTGCTGTCAGCTAAAAGCATGTTTTAGTCTCCATGCTCCAGTTAATTACTAAATTAGTTATTGTTATTTCAATAATTGATTCACAATTAATAATTGTTTCAGCCTTGTACCAAATTAGTCAGTATCCCTGTTTTGAAATCAGCCGACTGAGAATTCATGGAGTTAATGGTAAAGATGAGGCCACATTCAGGCCTATAGATTAAACCAGAGAAACAAAAACATCTCTTAATCCAATGTCATATCTGTTTAGTTACCTAGCAACTGTTAATTAGCAAGCTCTGATGTTTAAGGGGTGCTTAGACTGCAGTTTTTGAGCTAAAAAAAAATCACCAAATACGTCTCAAGTTAAGCTAATATTTGGGTCAAAAGTTAGCGTGGTTGCACTAACCTCTTAACATCCACCTCATTTTGGGTAATCTTTGCCTATTTACCATACCTTAATGGAAAAGCAAATAACTTAGAAACTGTAAGCCCAAATTACATGTGATACATTATTTGAAAGCTAACACCCTCTAGTTTCTTAATATAAACATGAAAATTGGGTGAGTAAAACACCCAAGCTGCATCAGTTCAAACAAGACTCAAAGTAGGTTTTTTTTATTCTCCAAAATAAGTCTTTTTTTGAACAGCGATAATAATGTGGCTGCTTTGTCGTGCTACATTTCGACATGCTGCTGTATCTATGTTAATTGCGCTTTGGCGTTCGCCATTTCCATAAAATGAACTAGGTGGTTGAATTGTGGATAATCTAAGCTTTCCCATGATGTCTAACATGTCAATACTGGTAAACATTTTAACAGTGTAATTTTCATGCATTCTGAGTTATTAAGCGCTGTAAAACGGCGACCCGGTGGGTTTTGAAAGGCTAAAGCAAAAAAAAAAAATAAAAAATTTATTTCTATGCCATTTTAAGGGTAGAAATCATTTAATTAATCCTAAAGTATGTAAATAAAGCAGATAAACATTTTACATTAAACACATTACTGGAAATGAACTTGTAATTATCATTCTCTTGCACACACGTACAAAGATTTGTCTTCAGAGTATTTTTTATTTCTCTTCAAGACATGCCTCCTCGCACTCACACACTTCTTTTGCATAACAGTAGTACAGCAGCGGCCGAGGGTACAAAACGCTTATTATTTTTCAGTGTAAAAATATCTCTTCTCGTGCCTCCCACCTGTGCCATCTTCTCGTAGTGCAAACGCTTCAAATAAAAGTTAGGCACATGATGGATACGATCGCAGTTCAATTACACTTAAGTGCTGATGACGTGGAAACATTTCTTTGATTTCCTCTTGGTGGCTTTTCCAGTTCATACTCAGTGAGACCAATAGCAATGAAACGCTGGACTTCCTGGTTTCAGCTGTCTGATGCTTGATTAGCGAAAGATAAGAAAATACAGAACTACTAGAGTCCTACTGGCTGATCAGATCAGGATTATATGTTTGAGTTGATCGGCGAAGTGCAACCGACTTTAATACTATAATAAACACAAGTTACATTGCAAGCTTATGGTCCCAAGCAACAATCACAACATCGTCCTAGTTGATGCTTTTGCTTGTAAATATTGGAGCAAGCGATTTAAGTGGCAACTTGACAATTTTCTACCTAAAAAAAACTCAACAAAATAAAACTAACTAGCTCAAAATAAATTCAAATATTTCCCAGTTTTACATTATGGTACAAATAAAAAATAAATATCAGCTCTGGTTGTTTTTATTCTCCATCTAAGCCATTTCATGATTTCTAGAGAAAATAAGGGTACAAAGAGTTCTTTTCTGAATACCACAGTGCGGCGGGCTCTTCATCAGGAGGCCAGCACGCCTCGGCGGATAATGTCAGAGGCGTAGCGCCGCCCCAGGGACGAGTCGCCCCTCAACTCGTGGGAGTGGCATCGTTTGAGGCAGGGCTCCAGTTCGCCGTCGGGCTCCGGCACCGTGCGGAGCCGCGTTCTGGGGTACGCTGGGTCTGGGGTGTTTGTGAGCGGTCTGAGCAGAGGGTTGCTCTGCTGCAGCTCCTCCCCCTGCTTCAACGCAGCGCTCAGAGGCTTGTCGTTCCTCTTTGGGATCCGGAACTTCCCCCAGCCTTTCAGATGTCCCGGCACGGATCCGTTTGGGCCGCTGGAGCCGCTGTTCAGGGGCTTCCTGAGCCAGCCGTTAGTTTTGGAGACCTCCGAAACCATGCTGGTTTTAAACTTTGCAGTGGGAGTAACATCCAAAGGACCGCTGCTACGTCTGGCCATCCCATCATCGAATAAATACTCGTCGGAGTCAGAGTTTCTGATGTCCACCAGCCTGATGGAGACGGTTTTATCCAGATGTTTGGAGCTGAACTTGTTCTTCAGCTGGCAGGGGAAGCTCTCTGCATCCTCACTCCTCCTCTTCCTCCCTCGCTCCTCTTGCTCCGGGTCTGGTTTGTGACTGAACGTCACTTCTGCTTCTGGCGCCTCTCTTCTGGGGCCTTTCCTAATCTCAAGCTTGTGCAACTTGATGGAGGCGCGTTCCTGGATCATCTCAGGCTTTGAGAGCTTCATAAAAGGCCCCTCGCTAACCTCGGCCTTTTGGACTTTGACCTCGCCTGCAGGCTCCGTGGCGGTCGGCTCTTTGCTTCGGGAGCTTTTGTTTTCCTTAATCTCTGACGGCTTGCACTGACTGTCCTCTTTGGGAGCATTCATGGAGTCTGATGAGCTTTTCCTTCTTTCCCGTATCTGCAAGCTTCGTTTGCTCTTCTGACCAGAGTCACTCCAGGAGGAGCCGGACAAGGAACCAAGGGAGGATAAGGAACCCCCAGAGAACAGCTTCTCCAGGTCCTTTGCAGAAGGATCACCTGAAACAGAGAGAGAAGCACAGCTTTAGGATGCTGTCAGGGTCTAAACCGAAGTGATGCATGGTTTTACTATTCTGACTAGAGATCGACTATGTTTCCCCCATCAGTTTAACCGATCCTCCATATGGACTGTCAATTTTTGGGGCCGAAATAAATGACACCATGATAAATGTTACTCGAGTCTTATAAACACAAATATGTTAATGAAGCAAACAAATGTTAGAAATGAAAAGAAAAGGAGGGAGTAATAATGCATGCGGCTGTTGTGATCTAAAATCAGCTCAGACAAACAAGAAAAAAAGGCCAAAAATAGATGCAGGCCAACGTATTGATCTGTCGCCAGTTCTGTTCTTTAAGGTTTTTTTTCTAGAAATTAGAATGATGGTAGAAAAGGACATGGACAGGTGGGTTAGAATGAAACAGAACCCGAAATAGAGGGACGGCTCTGGAGCGTTCAGATTTCTCCTGACTGCTTCCTACTGCAGGCTCCTGATAACAAGCCACGGACAGATATAAAGGATTGTTCAAATAAATGCTGTTTTTATGTTCAACTTAATCCCAATTTAACAAAAACATTTTCAAATCACAGAAACGTTCAGTTTAGTTCCCATTATATTCAAGAAGAGTAAGACACAGCGATCAATAGATCCATGAGGTAGAAATAACTTTTCCAATCAACAGTAAAGTCCTGCAGAAATCAGAAAGAGTCAGGAAAACAAAGAGGGAAACAAAAATCTACATGATTGTTTGGTTTGTGCAAAAGAAGTTGCAATATTAATTCCTGGCTAAATTATCCAGCCCTAACAGGAGCATCTACAAATGGGATGGATGGATGGATGGATGGATGGATGGATGGATGGATGGATGGATGGATGGATGGATGGATGGATGGATGGATGGATGGATGGATGGATGATAGAAAAAGGAAAAATCTGAAACACTAAATATGTTTTCTTCTTCAAGGAGGAAAAAAACTGAAAAATCAGATTCCAGACCTTTTCCAGCAGGAATAGAATAAATCTAAAAACAGAAAAAATTGTGCAGACATTTCTGGATCCGTTGGGACGACTCACCGTTGAGCAGCTCGTGGTCCAGCAGCCGGACCTGGTTCTGGAAAATCTGCTCCTGGACTTTGCACAGCGAGCGCTTCAGCTTCTCTCTCCGGGTCACCATGTAGGTCAGGTTACGGACCTAAGGAACAAGATTCAACATTTTTACCACATCACACCCTGTCACCAGTCCCCGATCAGCTTCAATATTCTTCTCTTGTTCGATGAAAACAAATTTGCCCTGCAATTTTGAAGAAATTTCAGATATTTTTTTGTAATAAAAGTCTTATATTTCACAAAACCGCAATAGAAACATGTTTCACATGTGTTTAACTCTGCTGTTGCCATGTGCTTTTCCAGGTTTATTGCGTGAACAAACTAATTCACTGTGAAAAGTTTGCATTCTGGAAATGAGCAGAATATAAACGGTTTTGTAGACATTGAAGATGGAAACAGGATTTATAGAATTCACTGCAATAAGCAGAAAGAACAGCCTGGGTTATTCTGTCAGAATGAAGATGTCGGTTTTAAGATGTTCTGCTGAAAAATTAGGGAATCTGGATCCGTCCTCAACACCAAACCAAACAGAGACCCAGAACCAACAGCAAAAAAAACAATAATAATTATTCAGAGTTCTGCTTTCCACCTAAAATATTATCTCTGTATCATTTGTGTTGATTCAACTTTTCAGTAGCTATTCTCCCTCAAACACAGTGTGACGTTATTCTGACAGAAAACCCAGGAAGTGATATTCTGAAAACTATTTTTTAGGAGGAATCTACTGATGTTTTTTAATCCATCTTCTCCTACTTTTCTTGTGCTGCTTTCAACCCTTAATCTGTCATATAATCCTGCCTACGGCTCTGTCCCTGGTGCTGATCTCTGCCTTGTGGAGGAAACGCAGACCTACCCTCTCCAGGTCCTGTCTGAGGTGGGTGAAGAGCTGCAGGCGTCGCAGCAGCACCTCCTGCTCCCGGCGAGCCAGGCTCTCCTCCTCATCCTTCTTGGGTGTGAGCAGCTGCTGGTTGAAGTTGGCTTTGCGTTTCAGCTTCCAGTACTGGTAGATGAAGTCGACGGCTTCGGCCGGCAGCTTCAGGCTCTTGGCCACCTCCTCCACATCCACAAACTGGTAGAACTCCTCCTCCATCTCCTGCAGCTTCAGCTTGCGGAGGTTGACCCTCTTCTCCTGCTGGCGGCTGCTGAGCTCCTCCTGGTCGCTCTTCGTCCTCCCTCTCTGGTCTCTGGGCCCCTCCTTCTCCTCTTCGTCCCCGGAGTCGCGGTGGTTTGCCTCGGTACCTTGGATCCCGGAGTGTTTGGGGCAGTAGGATTTGAACTTCACCTCGTCCTCCTCAGTTAGGATGGTGTTCATTTCCAGGCTGGCATGGAGACCACACGTCACATGGAAGGCAGTCCTGCAGTTTTTTGCTGAGCACTGGAAATTGAATAAATGGTGTCAGACAGACTGTAATAACACAGATATTACACCAATTAAAGCAGTTATTGATTCTCTAATAAAATCATTAATTTACAACTGATAACTTATGTGGAATATTACATAGCCTAATTGCACAAAGTGAAAAATTTAAATTTTTTGATCATAGTTGACTGATAATAAAATATCAGAAGTTTAGCGACTCAGAAAATTAGAACGTCTCATAAGTTCAATAAAAAGGCAATTTATAGCAGAACTATGCATCAGTGCGACGTAGCATGGAGGCCATCAGTCTGACTAAGATGCAGCTCTTTTTCCACATTTGCTCCGCCCACAATTAAAAGCAGAACAGCTGCAAATCACTTTGGCTACTTTTCCACTGCAGCTCTTGATCCAATTTTTTTCCAGGAATCTGAATTTTTGTGGTCGTTCTCATTAGCTTTACATGCGTCCTTTATCTGACTTCATTATGAACCGCTTGCAGCTTCAAACTGACAGACTGTCGTCACACGAAGCACAACAGTAAACAGAGCAATAGGTGCTATGCTTCAGGCCAAAACAGAGGCGGTTTAATGTAACACAAGGTGCTGGGTGTGAAACACATGAACAAAAGGAAGGAAAATTCATTTTAGGGATAACTGATTGCTATTTCTTCACAAAAGACCGTTTGGATGCAGATGTGCAATCAGTAATGGTGGAACAGGGATGTTATCAACTTTACAGAGACCAAGTTTATTCAGAACTTTATCACGTTTTATTAATACATGCCAGACTTGGCACAATACAGTTTATCAGACCGCAGCTGGAACCGATGCTCTCTAACCTTAATAGCATTCCTCTGTTTGAAGTGTTGTACTTTAAATTGAGGATAAAAGCAACGTTCCAAATTTAGACGGTTTCTATGAGCCTTTTAATCAGAATTAAATAAAGTCTCTCCACTGTGTTTTGCTATCCTAGTTCCCGTCTGTTCTGCCAACTGCTACAATGTCCTGGTGGGTAGAGCAACATGGCGACAAATGTGAGGGAAAGTCTCATTTAATCCACCCTGGTGATTCCTACTGGAGTCACATTAGAGATCTGACTTAAGTTGGATTCTAGCCCACACAGGAATGTGGCTCAAATGGGAATTGAAAAAAAGACAAAATCAAGGAAGAGATCTTTGATGATAAAAAACCGTCTTCAAGGCGCTGGGTCAAACACGGTCGTCAAATGATTAAATGATCTCCTTACCTGTATGCAGGCTCCTGTCTTCTCTTTACACAGGCAGCAGATCAGAGCCCATCTGTTGCTGGGAATGTGGGAAACGTTGGTGATTGGCTCCATCTTCTCTGGGTTCCCAATGCTCACCTGGTAAACAAAGCCACACAACAGCAACATGTGAGTCTTAAGGAAAACATATAATAATTATATGATAAAAACAGCAGGAGAACAATAGAATCAAATAAAAACTTCTGACAGATCTTCACCTCTGGGATCCACAAGGCACAGCTGACATGAACCCACTTGGTTCCGCTTCTGGTCGGCTTCATGGCTCCGCCCTTTTTAGGACACAGCTGGCACTTTGGGAGGATGCCGAGCGCACAGATCCTACACAGCCAGCTGCCTTTGGGGACTTTCTGGATGCCGTAACACGCCTGATAGGAAATAAAGCATCAGGTCAAATTCTGGACTTAAACATTTCTAACTGATTTCGGCTCTAATCATGTAAACTTCTGACCTGATGAACGCAGATGTTACACTTATCGCAGAACACCATCTCATTGTTGTCCTCTCCGTCTGGCGACTGACAAACATCACACACCACGTCTTCGTCATACTCGATGCCCAGCCCCTCCTCCGTCTCCATGGCGTGCGTCATGTTTTCGTGACAGCAGTGTTCGAACTCCTCCATAACTCTCTCCATCGTGTTCTCATCCAGCGGCGGCATCGCTGCAGAAAACATGGCTGTTAACCAGGATCTCCTGGACACAGCAGCTCTTCAGCTGATTTAAGATCTTACTGACAGAAATGACCTGTTATGAAAACCACTACTAATTGGCCAAAGATAAGACTTTATGGGTTCTATATCATGCAAAATCTACTTTTTGATCATTTAAGTAACTATCATGCTATTTGTTGATCAAATCCATGCTCAAAGTGGTATTTCATTTGATTTATGCATCTCTGCGTGGAGCTAACGTCTTCTCAGTTTTTAACCACCTAAAAACCCTATATATTCACTTCTAGCCACTATGAACAACAGTGGGGAAATCACTGGGGATTCTCAGTGCGACAGGCTGTTAGTGTGCAGGAGTATGCTGCTCCAAACTGCAGAATATTTGAACCATTTGCATGGCTAATATTCTGATGTGAATATCTAAAAACATCTTGAAACTACATTTCTACCGCTCATTTCATTAAAGCCACGCTGTCTTTTTAAACAAAACCTGTCTGTAGACTATTTGCTTGATGGGCGTCCCTAAATAATCTTACACGGTTATAAGGTGTGATCTGTAGCTCACCCATCTGTGCAAACTCCTCATTGATGATCTGCAGCCAAGCCACGTCTTCTTCGTTCAGGTCGTAGCGGCACATCCCCTCCGCCAGGGTCCGGATGTCCACGTAGCCCAGCGCCTCCGTGCCCGACGTCCGGATCAACTTCTTAGGCCTGATGAACATGACCTCCTTTCCTTTCTCTGCCAAAACTCTGTAAGAAACAATAATAAAAGCTCCATCTCTGACCTACTATCCAAGGAAAAAATAAACATATATACCCCAAAAATTCATAAACTAAACATATTTAAAACCGTTGGGGTTAAAGGGTTTCCATTTTTGAAAATGGTACAAAGGATGAAGCATAGAAGCTCATAGTTCTCTACCTGGTCAGAGGCTGAGGAATGGACTGGGGGCTCACAGGCACCTGGACACCTTTCTCCCACTCCTGCCTCCATGGATCTACCAGGATGTAGTAATCCTCAGGATTCAGTGGATATGAGTCGTGTAACTTCATGGCTGTGATCAAGTCTGTCCTAAAAACCTGCAACACAGTAACAGAATTATCTGTTTACTATTTTTTATTCAGTCAAGCAAATGGCTTTAAACAACAAGGTTCCTGAGTTCAAAGACTGGAATAAATTAAATTATAATCAATAACTCTGATCATTTATTCTCTATACACATATTTACTGTATGTTGTAAAAATTAACTCTGGGTTTTGAGCAATAAATTATTATTTTTTTTTTTTTTGCATTACTACACAGTGCATATGAAGTAATCAATAAATTAATTGTTTGTTTTTTTTTTGTGTATGTTAATTTTTTACACTTTCATTAGATTTACGGTACGCTTTATGGGGGTTTAAAACTTTGAAAAACAATGACATTTTTTTTTATTTGAAATTCTCTGTATTTTAGGAATTTGGGGAATTGCATTCTTTTCAGGTTTTATTTTCACACCCTCTTCATATTAAGCCCATTAACAGCGTTTGCTCATAATGCGCACATCAATCAATTAAAAACACAAATACAGACCAATAGAAATTTCCTTTCACTCCTCAATCCAGAGGAAAGGCTGAAAGAATGCAATAAATAAAACTCAATCTGAAAAATAGACATTTGAAAAAATAAAGAAAATATTAAAGCTGTAAAATGTTGTAAAATATCAAATATATTAAAAAATGTTTTTTTTTAGAACAGCAGTTACCCTCAAAACATTTTTTATCTTTTTTTCTAGGTTTCTTTTCTAGATTGCATTTCTGTTATTTTAAATGTGTTTTATTTTAATTTCATTTAGAAAAGGGTGTTTTTTTGTAACAATGGAAGAAATTCCATAGAAAACTGCTAAAAACTGAATCATTAGCATTTATTTTTGCCAATAATATACCTGAGCTGATTTCATATGCTTATAATTTTAAACTAAGAGTAAACGCTCTGCTTTCTGGATTAGCCAATTAGAACGCTGCATTGGTAAAGTCTATTGTTTTTCTTCAATTTAATTGGCCTCTGAGTTAGAGGGCGTGTCGGTGGTTTGCAGGCTGCACAGAGATAACAGGACAGATGTTTCCACAACTACCGTGGGCCTCAGATCATGAAGCCGGCACAGCTTCAGATCTGCTCTAATAAACTGCTCTCTATAAACATAATAGATCTGCATTCACTTTCAAAATAAGCAGATATTCCTGCTTACAAAGAACCAAAGTCTTTAGTTTTCCTTATAGCTACACTTCTAAAATATATAAACAAAATCACACAATGTGATATTTAAATATCTTATTTACATTTGGTTGGCTACAGTAAGCAATGTCAGGAATGATACTTAAACAATGACTATAGTTACTTCCACGATTCAATAACTGATTGGTAACTCAGTTTCTGCACAATCAAAGATCGAACTGGGTACTTGTAACCTTCTCAGAGCACAAGCGCACTGGTCTTAACCACTAGACCAACACTCCCACACATGATCTAATGATCTATGGTGTAATAAGTTCAGAAATGTGGATAACCTTCATGGTATCGGAGCTTTAAATACAACCGGAAGTTCACTTATGAAATACATGTTTGATATCAATGAATTAAAATGCTTCACATGTAAAGCCACTGTATGTTTCTGTACCATTTTGGTGTGTGTGTGTGTGTGTGTGTGTGTGTGTGTGTGTGTGTGTGTGTGTGTGTGTGTGTGTGTGTGGCCGGACATGAATTGCAAGTATTATTTGCTTTTCAGCAGGGGTGTTTAATTTCTGCCTGCACAGGATCAACTGTGGATCTCTGCAGTTCCTTTATGTATTGACATTTCAAGCTGTTATCAATTACTTGGATTAGATCTATCACACAAAAAATGCAAAGAAAACATATTAAAAACCTATAGATTCCTATAATGGATCTGCAGGAAACAACACGTCCTGTGTGACGGTGAAGAACAGACTTACCTCAGAGGGTTTCTGCCCCGTTCCTCTCCGATGCTGTGATGAATGCAGGGACCAGCAGGTGGAATTACCTGAAATACAACCAGGAATTATTGGCTCCAGCTGTTCTGTTTGCAAAGCATCTGGATTTCCTCCAGGACATATAAAATATAAATATCTTGCATCCATTTTAAATACAATACTAATGGTATTGTGGGGGATTTTCGGGAATTTTTGAAAAGAATTACCCTCTCAAGTTAAAGAACAGAGTGGGAACGCCCATTAAACGCATGCAAGAGCCCATTTCTCCTCGTGCACGCTCTGTTTAAAAGTTGCTGTTTGCATCGCTCATGCAAGCTTACTTTCCAAAATAAGATTTGTAATTTTTCCACCATGTCAGACTCACCACCAGTAAGTGAAAATGGGGATGAGCACGTGGACGGCCTTATGTAAACATATAACCAGAATGAAGAACATCCTCCACTATACCTTTAAAACTGGCTTATTTAACTTCTTATTATGAACCTAAGCATCCAAAGCAAATTGAATAAGAGTCCATCCAGAAAAAGAATGAAAGTAATATTTTAAAGATTATTTGATTAATTTACCTTTTTCTGATTTCATTTTTTCAAACTTTTTATGTATTTATTTAGTTTTTACTGGTTTTAAACCTCCAGGAAATCTTCAAATCGGACTTAAGGAACTTTTTGCTATTATATTATTAAAGAAATATAGAATCTACAGCCATATAACCATTAGCTGCAGCTCTTCTTCAATTGGTAAACATTTTCATGGAAATATGGTTATCCTGCAGGACATTTGCGCCCCCAGTTGTTCTGCTCTTCAGAGCATTACGCTGGCAGATTAATTCATTTGCCGACTTGCTTGATGAACCTGAGCTCTGCTGCTATAGAGGCTTCACTATCCTTTCAAACAAGTCATGGCTTAATAACAGCGATGGGTGACTTTTTAGTTTTCATGACTTTTAAAACTTTTTCTTTCTTTCTTCTAAGTACAATAAATAAAAGAGTGACTTTCAGTGAAGATTATCTTTAATTACTCATGATATCCAATAGTCACTTCTGCAGGGGGGTATCAAGCTCCTCCCATTCTAAACTGCACATCTAGTCTGTTACTGTTAGCATCCATGCTGCTATTTGGGAATGCTGCTGTGACGAGGCTTATTGAAAAGAAAGGACTTGGACTTTAAACATCATATTTAACGTAAGCAAGTTAAATATACCTTTGTCTAGTTAAGGTCAAGCTTCAAGGCTCATGTGACTCCGGTTTGTTTAGGGCATGGTCTAAATTACCCATCATTACTTTTCCTATGGTAAGCAGGGAACATTTTAATCAGAAGCCAGAGAGAGCACCGCTCTCAGTTTCGGCTCTGAGCACAGAGTAGCCCAGATCTCCCCACACACTGCTGTTTCGGCCAGGACAACATCCAAGGCTTAAAGGACTCGGAAATGTTTAAGTCTGTGAAAACTACAGCAGCACAACCCTAACTCTTATTGGGGTCACATTATTTTTAAACTACTGTAAGGTGTTAATACTACAAGCAAAGGAGAAGAAGTTAACCATGTTAACTTTACACTTTTCTCTAAATTCAGTTTTAATCTAAATTTTAGCTTGATTGCATTTTCTAAATCATAAATATTTCAGATACTAAATACAACTATAACAGCTTCACAGCAGTGGGAAAATTAATGCTTTTTGGGTTTGAAAAAAGAAATTAGATCATATTCAACTTTGAAATTGGATTCAAGCTTTCATATTTTAAAATAGAGCACTTTTAACTCGAGATTATTATGAAGTTAGCATATAATTCTAATCCTGATCTTTTCTATACTGCCCAGGTTATCTAGATTCATAGTTTCCTACTGCACAGTAAGATTTATAACTAGACCAGGTATTTAAAGCTCAAATTAAAAGCAAAAAAAATATCAAATATACACCTAAAATTGGAGAATGTAAACATCTAAGTTTGATGTGGTAGCTTTTTAGTTAATGCAAAATAAATTTGACAAACAGCACAATTATTCTGATTTTATGCAAAACCAAATATGATATAACACCTTTCATTTTATACTGCAAAGATGAATAAAAGTTTACATTTTTATTATGATTTTTAAGAGTTGTTATCAAAGTAATTCAATGTTGCAACTCGGTTTTATTTACGGAGGATGCTTTAGCTACAAATGGCTAAATCAAAACATTTACCCAAATGTACTTCTGTTAAACTACACACTGATGTCCACATTTACACAAGCTTTGTTGGGCTGAGTCAGCTGAGGCAATGTTTTGCTTACTTCCATTATCTGAGTCATCGCTGCTGCTGGGATGCCTGCTTCTCTTCATCGTCTTCTGTCTGTGGAGCTCCGGCATCAGGACCCTAAACATAAAATAATAAAGATGAGCATGAATGCGTGAGCGAAAGTGTTAGGAAATAATACTGAAAAGAAAATATGATTAAAAAAAAACTTAAAGGATAAGTTCTTAGACAAAGTATTGATTAAAATATCTTAATTAAACCCTTAAGAGACAAAAATAAAAAGGCTAAATTAAACGTATCGATCAGTTAAATATTAAAGCTCCACGTTTACAATAGCTTATAATAGAGACTAAGCGATATTACGCAACATTGCAAGACCTGAAATGTCAACAACAGGACGCTTCCAGAAGCCCTCGGAAATAAGAGGTTCTCCTCGGTTCAGATTCTCACCGCGGCTCAATGCTTTCACTTTTACCATCCGAAGGCTGTTATTTTAACAAGAAAGTGCAAAGTGGAGCGAAACTGAAGAAAAAAAACAAAAAAAAAATGCACCACTTCACGTGTTTCCTTGGAGATTACACCGCGTCACGCGTGTTTACACTTCAAGGTAACTTTCCACACGTTCCCCCGCGCACGTAAACATCACGTCGCCGCGTGGCTCATGGACCTACCGTTACATACTCAGTAAAATCAGCACTGACTAATAGCCTCCAAAGAGTGGAAAATACCAAAAGTTTACGCATCGAGGAAAAGCGCTAACCCTAATTTAGCATGCTAGGCTATAACACTGAAGCTAGCTCGTTTGTGTGACAAAAACCCCTCGTTCTGCACGCACGCGTCACAAACACAGACTGAAGTCAGCCTCTGAATCGTAGACTAGGACTGCTGGTGATAAAATATATTATATTGTACTGATTTAATATGCTAAACAAAAAACATTTTTTTGAGTTGTGAAATCTTAATTTAATTTATGAAAACAGAAATGACCCACCTTAAAACATGGAAATGTCAACCATGAACAGCTATATTGCAAATTTTACACTTGTGTTTACAAAATAAAACCTGTCTAAGTCTAAAAAGTACAACAGATGATCCATCAAACCATAACACTATATAAAATATTTGCATGGGGACCCTAGAATGTCTTCCTCATAACAACTACACTGTAAACATTTGACACAGTAAATTATTTTCCAGAAATTGCAGCTTCAATAAAAAAAAAAAAAAATAATTATTTATCAAACCTCAACAAAATCATATAACTAAGAAAAGTAAAGCCTCATATACTCTACACTAATAAAACAATAAATTTTTAATTCACAAATCCTTATTCAACCTAATTAGTTGATATGTACTCAAATTATGATTTTAGGTATTTTTATTCTTGAGATATTATTGATTAGGTCCTGCTTAGAGTAGGCCAACTCGAAAACAATATTAAAATAATTACTATTAAGTTATTACATAAAAAGATGGTTGATTTATTTTTTCTTAATCAAATATCAATGTAAGATAAGATGTTTATGATGGATTCAGTTTACAAATTACCGTAAACCACTGTAAAAACGAACAGATTTTCTATTTTAAAAACCTAAATATATATTTTTATGGCGACAATTCAATAAATCCTTATATATTTTTGATAATCTAGTTGTAGAGCTTTACAGAGCTATTAAATGCTGCGAAACAATTTATTAGCAAGAGTTATACAGGGCCGATTGGAATGCTAGCTTCAGTGCTGTGATGGTGCCAAACTAAGTGGCAGCAACACCAGTAAACATCTCCGTTCTTTTTAGATGAACTACGTGTAACATTTACACATATATTTTTAATCACCGATAAAAATACAGCGAATAATCCTTTAATCCCAGCCACGATTATTGATATAAACAGATGAATAATGTCGAATTACAGCTTTGTTGCTATTTTCCTTACCGTTATGCAACCTAAGGGCCCACCCACACCCGATGCATCAAGTGGAACTCTCGCTAACATTAATAAAGGGGGATTTTCAGACCGAATCAAAGCGCATCGTGTGAATTTATATTATCATGCACTGATATGCACAAACCAATTCAAACTAGAGACGTTTCAGGAGCAATAACTAAATTATGCCGATGCTAAGTGTTAGCTAGCAGCTAGCTAGTTAGCTGCGAGCTAACAAACGTCAGTTCCAAAGCCGCCGCCGTTAGCATCAGCTAGCATGGCTTCCACGGTGCTAACTCATTAGAAAACACAAACAGCCCCCTATCCGTCAAAGGTTAGGGGTCAAACTTGGACTCAGTCGTATTTCTCAAAAGTTAACATGTGCAGATAAATTAGAAGTATCCGTTTCAAAGGGACCAGTGTTTCGTTACTGTTGTGGTTAAACAGTTGGTTACAGTGAGGTGTGTTTATCGAAAATGAACTGGCGGAGGTTAATCTTTGGCGCCATTTTAAATGACGACGTCGCGTTTTCCTAGCGGACTGCTGATGCGACCATAGCAGATATATATAAACTCACCTAAACGCCCAGGTAGAGGCAAAAAAAAACACGTGCAACAAATGCAAGCGGGTTTATATCGTTTAATAAAATAATACGGTACATACAGAGCACGTCCGAGTGATGAAAGCCGGTGTTTGAGTTTGATGCGAAGCGCAGTTTTTCCCGTGAGTTCCGCTTGACCCGCATTCCACATACACAAACACAGAGAGAGCAGCGGCGCCCTCGGAGGAGGTTACCCAGCACGGCTGCAGGAGTGCATGTCCGCCGCAAGGGGGCAGCAGAACCCCTTCAAGCAATTAGATTTATTTGTAGTATTTGTATACACGAGTGTAAACAAAAAAATATACTTCGTATAAAACTGCACTAGACAATTTCATTTTTTTAAAGCGCAGCCTTGAAAACAGTAATAAATACATTAAAAAAATAGTAATATAAACACATGACTGTATATTTACAGTTCTAACATTATTATTATTATTATTTTTTTTTTTATTTTTTTTTTTTTTATTATCCAACAGATTTGAGGATTAATTCATGACCCCAAAATCCTTACACTATAAGCACCACTATATTACATCACTACCGTTTTCTGGTCAAAAAAAACAGTAGAAAAAATGGATAGACACTCAGCTGCCATATTTTTTAAGTAGGCCTATAATTATTATTGTCTTTATTATTATTGCCTTTATTATTATTATTATTATTATTATTATTATTATTATTATTATTATTATTATTATTATTATTATTATTATATATTTATAATTTAATAATTATTTCCTTTATTTTCCCATTGTAGGACACTAAAGGGATTTTCTATTATATTATGTTATACAAACTATAACAGAATAAAAAGAGTCCACTAACAGATGACTGTTAACTTTTTATTAAACTAAAAATATAAAGGGAAAGTTTTCAATATTTCAATAAAAAACTCAACAGATGATCCAACAGATGATTTAAGAGGTGCATCTAGAGGACACAAAACAGGTTTGGATGTAGAAAATGCAGTATTACTGACCCATATGTTGTTTTTCAGATATAAACTCAAACCACTGACATAGCTATTTAAAATGAGCACCGACTTACAGCTACTGTTATCAAATTCTAAATGTGAATAAATTTGTTAAGTTGCATAAATATTTACACCCAGTGTTAAAAAGTAGGAAAATATGGAAACAGATAAATGTAAGCAGAAATGCACCACAGAGAGGATGACAAGCAGCATCACAGTTCTAATCCTTTAAGCAACATAGATGAATCCAAAATCATTTTCAGAAAAAAAGAAAACAGCTGATTGATTTGATTAAGGTGCAGTTTAAGAATGAACCTTGCAGCATGACAGTAAACAGGAAAATGATGCTACACATTTTTATGATACACGACTACACAACTCTCTGGATGTCTACGTTTGGAACAGATTTTACCCTCGAACTGGACAGAAAGGAGTTCTCCTCTTCAGAAAATACATCTAACAAGCGGAATATGAGATGAAAAAGTCAGATTCAAAGTGGTTTCATTTGTAAATTCAAAAAAGCTATTCTAACAAACCAGGTCCTTAAAAAAAAAAAAAAAAAAAAAAACTGTTAAGTTCATAACTGGTTGTTTTTTGCAGTAACTGGCAGTTAATTTTCTTTTGTTCATGATACAAAATTAAAAAAAATTGCCCCATTCTTGTTAGCTTAACTGCATTTAGTCGCCATTATCTCACTTAGGTTTCTGCCCAGGCTTTTACTAGGCCACAAGAAAACATTTTTTTTTTTTTTTCGGCCTGCTGCTGGGATCTGGATCAGCTGAACAGTAGCAGTGTTCATAGTTCCATTTAATGCCACCCTGAAGTCACAAAATGACCCTCTACCACCATGTTTGAATAATGGTCAGATGTTTTGGTCTGAAATACCGAGTCGGTGATACAGCAATTGTGATGGATCGACACATGCTTAGGAAAACAAAACAAAGAGCATTTCCCAAAATCATGGGGAGAGTCAAAAAGTTGTTTTTTTAAATGCATGACAGGCCTAAGCATATGTGCGCCTCCATGTGGTTGTTTGTCTGTTTTCTGGCCTTAAATGGTATAGATTAATTGTAACAATAGGCTTTATTTGAGAAATATGTATTTTCCGTGTAAATACAATAGGGCAGAAATACTATAAGCTGTTTAGTTTAATACATTTTAATAAAATATAGTCACACAGACAGTGGCATGTTGTTTACTCTGCAGTTTCTTATGAGTAGATGACGTATTGTAGGTCCTGTAGCGATAGCTCTGTTCAGCCAAAACAGCAATGAAGAACTTGAACCTTTTCAGTTTGAACCAGATTGCATTGAAATTTCTGATAATGTAGAAATCAGGATCGATGAGTTATAATGAACCAAGAGATGCTTTACTGTCACTATCTTCCAATTTGATTGTTATTCAGCTTCTGATAACGGTATTAACTCTAGTTTATGTAGTAAACAGTCGATCACAGGCTGATCATATTTGTTTGTTTCCACAGATATCTCTTGTATAACGGCTCATTTATGCTTTGAGGCAGCGAAGTCTAAATTTACACTAGTCAGAGACAAAAAACAGCTCTGGTAGCCTTCCTGTGTTTACTCCGTAGGTTGCAGTCCAGTCAGACCTAACTACTTCATCAACCCAGCATGAATGGAAGAGGTGAAAACATGGTGACCTCCATGGATGAAAAATATAACAACGAATATATCATTTTTCAAGTACTGTAAGTATGTTGAGAGTTAATTTAACACTAATTCAGAGTGGGATCAAATCCACTCAGACTTTTAAAGTGTTAGTTTACCACTGCAAAATTTACCAAAACAGCAACTTTACATAAAGTTTACAAAAGGCCAACATGTTCAACTATATCTGTCAAATCTTTTTGTCCGTTTCTGATCAGGTCTGTGAATTCCCTCAATAAATTAAGTTATCTTTTAAAAAAAAAAAATTAATTGTACTGAAGTTTTTCAAGATTTGTTCGCTTTTTTCGTTTTTTTATGACTTTATGAAAATGATTTAAAGTGGCAACAACAGAATAAATCTATCAGATTATAAAAATGTTCATACAGTTCCAGATTATTTATATTTCTATTGAATTACATTTTTTTAATGTAATATACAATAAAGCTCAATAATATAGCTACTGTTGGGCTGTTTTGTGATTTAATGCTTATTATTATTGGCCTTATAAAGTGGAGCCATAAATTAATTAAAGCATTCTAACAAGGAAGATTTATCAGATTAAAAGTGCCTTTTAAAAATAACAATGTCTAAGTATGAAGTTTACTTTTTATTAAGCTTAAGTTTTGGAAATTAAATGTTTTTATTGGTCTAATGTAATAATTTCATATGAAATGTCATGTTTTCATTGGCTGTAAGCAGAAAACCATAATGAACAGAAATAAAGGCTTGAAAACATCTGTTTGTGTGTTATTAATCGTATGTGCTTGACTTCTCAAATTCCACATAGATTAATTTTTCAAATATCTTCATCTGTTGTGAATGTTTTTTATATCCCTTAAGCATATTTTGTGGCAAAAAAATGTAATAACTTTGAATTTTATGGGATAGATCAGGGTTTTTCCAAACATTTCAGCCTTTGAAGGGTGAAATAAAATCTGTTAGAGGCAGCAAAGGATTGAAGGCAGGGGTAAAGGTTCTTCCTGCAGGAACACGAAGCTAAAAACCTGCTGGCCTTCAGGGCCTTGGAGTGGGTGGAGCTTAATACATACACTGTAAGCATTGGCACACTATGTAGGGGTTATAAAAACTGGGAAAACCATGTATCCTTTGGTTTCTACTTAAATATAGAGCCCTACTAAGTGTTGGTCCAAATAAAATAGGGGAGATATGTGGTTCTAACACAATACTGAATATGGACCTAGATATGTGACTTTAGAGGAAAACAAGATATGAGGATTAAACTAAAGATCTGAGTAAAAAGCTCTCCTTTGATGAAGGTTCAAGCTATTATTTGAATTCAGTGCTCCATTTCGTTTCCCTATCAGATACTTGGAGTGTTTCTGAGCTCATCTGATTGCCAAGATGGCGTCGTAGGACTTTCCGGTCCGGCAGACCTGAACGTTGCAGAAGCCTGACTTGTTGAGCATGTTTATGTACTCGGATGGGGAGCGCTCCCTGCCCTCGGCCTGGACCAGCATGTTGAGGGAGAAGATCTGAACCATGAGGGGCCCTCGCCTGTTCTCAAACAGCAGCGCCTCTACCAGCAGGACGCCTCCACCTAGAAACAGGACGACAAACATACTGAGCCCCCCAGACCTCTTCTATTTGACTCATGTTGCAAGAAACTCACCAGGCTTACAAGTCTCATAGATCCGCTTCAGCAACGCCAAGCACTTCTCTTCGGACCAGTCATGAACGATTCTGGCCAAGACGTACAGGTCTGCACTGGGAATTTCACCTCGGAAGAAATCTCCTGCATGCAGAGGAGGAAACGGATTAAAGCAAAGAGAAACAAAGCAACATGATCAACCATCCATCAGGCTCACCGGACTGAAACGCGACGCGGTTATCTTCTAGACAGAAATGTCTCTGAGCTGCTGCTATAACCTCTGGCAGGTCAAACACGGTGACGTTAGACGTGGGATATGCCTTCACAATTTCATTGGCCAGAGCTCCAGTGCAACCTGGGGGTTGAGAAGTCAAAGTGTTTTTATCGCCATCCACACATCGGCACGGTGGACCACTACAGGTCCTCACCTCCTAGATCAACTATCCTCTGGAAGCGAGAGAGGTCAAACGCCGTCACAACGTCGTGTCCATCGAGAACCCAGGAGGAGTTCATCAGCCCCATGAATTTAAGCATCTCCTCCTCAGACCTGTGAGGTATATTCATCCATTAACAACAAACAAGATGAAAATGATGAAGTGTTATAAAGCACCAACCTGTAAATGGCTTGGAAGACGTCATCAGATGGAAGGCCGAAGGTCTTTTCATACTGGTTCCTCCCCTCCCTGCATGACATAAAACTTGCGTTTTTACTAATAGAAATGTTTTTTTACTTTCTGCATTTGCAACCAACAAACTTTTAAAATTGTCTTATGTTATACTCACAAAAAAAAAAAAAAAGAACTTAAGCTGAACTGAGTTTTTTTTTTAAAGATAGTGTAAGAACCCCACTGGGGCCACGATCCAAGTGTGGCTGACCCTTTAAATTCCTACAAAGTAAATTAATGCTAAGCATAAGCATTAATTTAATTTAAGATAGGAAAACAAATAGATAAAGCAATATATCAGCAGCTGAAGCTGTTAATAGAGTCATTATTATTATGTTTTCTTAATGTAGTGGTGTTCTCCATCCATGGTCGGGTCACACCTCTCTTTAGTTTATGAGTTAGAAGCTGATAAGAATCAGTTGTCTAACCTTGACATGAGACTTAGATTTTTGCTCTTTTATATAATAATAATAATAATAATAGATTTTATTTGTAACGCACCTTATATTTCAAAGAAATCTCAAAGTGCTACAGAGATTAAAAGAAGAAGAAAAAAAATATAGATAAAAAAATAATAATAGTAATAATAAAAAATAATAATAGTAATAATAAAAAATAAAGAATAAATTGTAGGGCTTACAGTAATACATCTTACACCGAGTGGTATCAAAAACTAGCAATTGAAACTAACAATTAAAACTACAATTTAATCTCAAAGTGCTACAGAGATTAAAAGAAAAAAAAAGAAAAAAGAAAATAAAGATAAAAATAATAATAATAATAGTAATAATAAAAATAAAGAATAAATTGTAGGGCTTACAGTAATACATCTTGCACCAAGTGGTACCAAAACTAACAATTGAAACTAACAATTAAAACTACAATTTAAAACAAAACTTACAGTTCTAAAAAGGCCTGTTTAAAAAGGTGAGTCTTAAGACCTTCTTTAAAGGCCTCCGCACCTTGTGGGGCTCTCAGGGACTCTGGAAGGGCATTCCAGAGCCGTGGAGCTACTGCCTGAAAAGCCCTATCCCCCATAGTGGCAAGTTTGGTCTTAGGTTGATGCAGGCAGTAAAAGGAGGTGGAGGAACGAAGCCTTCGAGAAGTAGCGTGCGATGAGAGGAGTTCACTGAGATAGGCAGGAGCAACTCCATGGATGCATTGATAGGTAAGCAGACAGAGTTTATAATGTATTCTATGTTTGATCGGTAGCCAATGAAGTGAATTAAGAACAGAAGTGATATGGTCGTATTTGCGCCTCCTCATCAGGACCCGGGCAGCACAGTTCTGAATGTGCTGGAGCTTTTGCAGGTTTTTACCAGAGGTCCCAAAGAGGAGGGCATTACAGTAGTCCAACCTTGATGAGATAAAGGCATGGATCAACCTCTCAGCATCCAGTTGGGAGAGGGAGGGGCGGAGTCTGGCAATGTTTTTGAGATGGAGGAAGGAGACTTTAGAAAGATGACGGATGTGGGAGTTGAAAGTGAGGTTAGAGTCAACCCTAACTCCAAGGTTTGTGACGGTGGTGGAAAAGGGAATGTTAAGACCAAATATTGAAATACTACTGAGATTAGAGGACTGAGTTTGATGAGGGGTGCCAAGAAGGATGACATCCGTTTTATTACTATTAAGTTGAAGAGAGTTGGCAGACATCCATGCCTTTATCTCCTCTAAGCAAAGCTGAAGTGAAGACGGAAGAACTGTAGGAGAAGTGGAGTCCATTTTCATATACAGTAATCTTTGTAATTAGTAAGGGATATACTAAGTAATTAGTATATCTTTGTAAAAAAAAAAAGCCTGAAAAGACTCAGGCAGACTGGATGTGGAGAGTTACCCATTTTGAGTCTTGCCTCTAGATTATAACCTGATTAAAGTCTAAATTTTAACTGGGCCTTTAACCATTAAGCCTGGATCAACACCAGTCCATTATAGCTCTGTATTCTGGATGTTTAGAGAATTTGTCCTGCTTGAAGGTAAACTTGATCCATTCCTAAAATCTTTTTCTGCTTTGAGTATTTTTCCAGCATCACACTGTGTTTAGCTCTGTCCATCATTCCTATATTACTTTGATTCTTGCAATTTGACCAGCAATGGACCCAACATTACTTAATATGAAGCGGGTGGCCAGTGAGCTGCTCATCGTGACCCCCATGTACATTTAAGGCACTTTTTGACTGATGAACTGTTGGATATAAAATTTAATTTAAAAACTATATTAAGAAAAGAGAATAAAGGTTATTTTTTACGTGGCATAATCAGTCTGAATTTCCCAAGAGAAATCCATCAGAAATGATGATAATCATTGTTGTTATTGAGCTTGATAGAAAGTTGTGTTAAAATGCAGAATTGTTTTGGTCTGCAGGCAATGCTCAACAGCACACCTAGTGGTGAAAAGAAGCACCTTTAAGTACCTCTTTTTCAAGGGAGCTCTGACCAAGGGCAACAAAATATACATTACAATGAACAATGCACAACTAATTATTATTATTAGCTAACTGTTTATATTATAATATTAGGAGACTTTCTCTGGTGCTCTCAGCCTGGAGCTAAAAGTGCCCCGTTTAATAAAATCCGTCAGTTTCAGGTCTTTTTGCAGAATGTTTCATTGAGATGGAGCAGAGTGAACAAAAACCTAATTTTACTAGTTCTGTTTAGGAAAACTGATCAGAGGGTCAACACGTCTCTATTTTATCAAATGTACATTGGTAGGAGGGCAGCAGATTGAGCATTGGCTTTATAGATAAAAACTTTACAGTGAGAAGCTGTTTTTTTATTTTATAAGAACAAAAAAGAATTTTTTTAAAGAAAAAGCCTGATTTGCTCTTGAGTTTCATCACAAGGCTTTCTACAGGGCAGTCTACATTCTACATATGAAGAATTTTCATATGGAGGGAGTTCTTTGGAGTTCTTACAGTTTTTAAATTACACAATTTAGTTTTTATCAATATTAAGAACCAGTTATAGCTGTGAAAGTGTGAGCAGGACCACATTATAAGCTTTGTGGAAAGGTTGTACAGCTTTATCAGGGGTTGATCCAAAACAGTAAATAATTTTCATCAGTGTAAAAATGACACATTTGTTCCCCATTTACATCATAAAGAGAAAATAAAATCAGTGCACTGGATTGCTCAGATTTTTTTTTTTTTTTTTTACTGGTATCAGAGTAAAGGTAACACAAAATCCTCATTTAAGATTTTTGTTTGTAAAAATATTTTTAAAAAAATCTAATTTTGGTTCTAATTCACATAAATGACATATGCAAAACATACCGTTTATTATATGAAATGCCCATAAAACAGAATAAATGTTGTGGTCATAACAATACAGTATATGCAAAAGTTGAGGGGTGTGAATTTGCTAGGAGCTTTATTTTTTATTTTTTCTTGCATTCAAAAAGGCAGATCTGATCCAAGAGTGGCCCACTGACCTGACGGCGTCGGCCATGTTGTTCCACAGTGGGTAGATGGTCTGGGACTGGTAGACAATCATGTCATGAAGAGATTTAGCGCTACCTTTGGCCAGGTAAAGGTTAGCTACATCTTTGCTGCTGTACAAAGCTAACAAACAGAGACAACAGCAATCAATCACAGAGGAATCCAGACCTGCTTCTAAACAGAACCAAACACAGCAGTAAATTTAAAGCCAAAACTCATTATGTTCACATGTCCATTGAAAAGTGCTCAATTTTTGCTGCAAAGGATAAAGATCTCTTAAGCTTTAAAATATATTTTTTTAACAAACTGTAATTAAAGGGAGATAAGAAAATGTATTCACACCCCCTCACAGTTTTATATGAAACCACATACACCAAAGTATTATACTGTGATAATTTAAATAAAAGGTGCAAAATACTGCACGGAAATGTGCAGTATTAGTCTTCTGCCCTATATTAGAACATTGTGTTTCATAGGTGAGGTGGTACGAATACTTTGGAAGACAATCTGTCAGTTATTGGAGACTATAAAGGTTGTCCCGTTCCTCACCCATCCCTTTTTCTCTCTCCACCTCGAGGATCTCGATGCCCACCAGGGCGTCCAGCAGCCTCTCCATGCCGTCCACGCTGGTGCCCAGTTCCTGCGCCACATGCTGAGCACTCAGAGCCTCATGAGATTTAAGCAGGAGGTCAAACACTCCAAGCTCACAGGCTGAAAATATCACCTAGAAATATCACAGACACAAACTCAGGTTCTTTTTCTTTAGTATCCGGACACAGAACAGCAGTATGTTCAAAATATTTACATGTGTTTTGAAAAGATGCATTATGTTTGTTAAATGTATTAGACTAAATCTGCCTGACCCTTTCATTTCAGTTACGGTTACTAAAGATATACATGTTAAACAAATCTACAAAGAAAAATGATGCACAAATTTACCTGTTATCTGGTAAAATAGCTTTTAAAATCAAAGATCTTTTGGGATCCTTCCACAATAGTTTGCTGGAATTTTGGCCAATTCCTCCTCACAGAACGGGTGTAACAGAACCTCATTTGCTCTCTCCCACCATTTTACCTCTGACCGCTAATTTAGTAAGATGAGAGACAAAACGTCTCATTGGTTTTATTGTCCTTAACCCTACTTGTAGCTGATCTGTTAACATATTTAGAGATATTTCCATTCAGAAGACAAATTTGATCTCAAACTTCATCTCCCAGGCTGATGCCTTAAGATGCTGCTGCAATACTTCACCCTAATCTTTTATCCCATGATGAAGGGCTTCAGTCCCTCCTACAGCAGAACATGATTCTCCCACCTGTGTGCTTCAAAACGGACGTTCTTGAGTTTGAATTAAATTTGAGCCCTTTTAAAGAAGGCATTTAATTTATCCAGTACTGTCTTTGGTGCTACCCTGCCACATTTTTTCCAATTAAATTAGTATTTGAATGAAATATAACTTCCTAATTATTTTATAATTTTATGTTTCCAATGGTGTTGAAAACATACACTTATAAAATAAGAAGGAAGTTATATTTCATTCAAATACTAATTTAATAATAAAAAAAAAGTTTACTTGTAATTACTTTCTAAATCCTTTTCTCTCTGTTTTTAGTTTTCAAATTCTGTATTATCCTAATTTTAATATTTAAACTTTTTTAGTCAATCAGGACAGGTTAGTTTTTGGTTATCTTAAAATGTAATTTAAGATTTTCAAGTATCTATATCATAGCAGGGTAGAAATGGAGTGACGACGTTAAATGGACACATTTTCTTGTCATGTTGTAGAGCATTAGGTATTTCTTATATCTTTTCTCTTATAGGATAAACAGGATGACACGTATAAAACTTCATTTTAAAATTTCATTTTCATGCTTAACCCAATGCTTTGGGTGAAGCACCCCCTAGGGGGGACTCAGTGTAATTGCAGGAGGGGCATGGTAGAAATAAATTTAACATATGACCAATTTTGAAAGGTAATAAAAAATAAAAATTTGCAGCACAGCAATCATAACAACTTAGATAGCCTTAGTATAGTTTTACAACAGATTCCCTTCCTGATACAGTCAGGGTTGTTTTACTATTACAGAGAGAACATTATGTGTAAGTAATTACCCAATTATATTAATACACATTGTACATTAAATACTAAATTATCAAAACCTGATCTCTAACCTTAAAGTCCCTAGCAGTTACCTGGGTGTAGGATGGAGGGCTGGGGTTGACTGAGGGGCTGTTAAATACCCCTGGTCATGCTCATCCCTCTCAGTTCAGTCTTTCTGTTTGTTTTTCAAGCCTTCTTTCTATCTTTTCTCCGCTTCTCTCTATTTTTTTAATACTGCCATCTCTCTGCTCATCTGTAGAGCTTCTGCCTTCAGCAGCACTCACTGGAAATTGGAATTCTGGATAAATAATTGAGAGTTAGAATTAAATATCAATAAGCCTGAGGTTAAAAAAAGTAGTTTATAGTCTGTAAAATTTGGCACATATGTTAAACATTATACAAAGAAATATATATATATATATATATATATATATATATATATATATATATATATATATATATATATATATATATATATATATATATATATATATATATATATATATATATATATATATATATATATATATATATACACTATATTGCCAAAAGTATTTGCTCACCCATCCAAATTATTGGAATCAGGTGTTCCAATCACTTCCATGGCCACAGGTGTATAAATTCAAGCACCTAGGCATGCAGACTGTTTTTACAAACATTTGTGAAAGAATGGGTCGCTCTCAGGAGCTCAGTGAATTCCAGCGTGGAACTGTGATAGGATGCCACCTGTGCAACAAATCCAGTCGTGAAATTTCCTCGCTCCTAAATATTCCACAGTCAACTGTCAGCTGTATTATAAGAAAATGGAAGTGTTTGGGAACGACAGCAACTCAGCCACGAAGTGGTAGGCCACGTAAACTGACGGAGCGGGGTCAGCGGATGCTGACGCGCATAGTGCGAAGAGGTCGCCAACTTTCTGCAGAGTCAATCACTACAGACCTCCAAACTTCATGTGGCCTTCAGATTAGCTCAAGAACAGTGCGCAGAGAGCTTCATGGAATGGGTTTCCATGGTCGAGCAGCTGCATCCAAGCCATACATCACCAAGTGCAATGCAAAGCGTCGGATGCGGTGGTGTAAAGCACGCCGCCACTGGACTCTAGAGCAGTGGAGACGCGTTCTCTGGAGTGACGAATCGCGCTTCTCCATCTGGCAATCTGATGGACGGGTCTGGGTTTGGCGGTTGCCAGGAGAACGGTACTTGTCTGACTGCATTGTGCCAAGTGTAAAGTTTGGTGGAGGGGGGATTATGGTGTGAGGTTGTTTTTCAGGAGCTGGGCTTGGCCCCTTAGTTCCAGTGAAAGGAACTCTGAATGCTTCAGCATACCAAGACATTTTGGACAATTCCATGCTCCCAACTTTGTGGGAACAGTTTGGAGCTGGCCCCTTCCTCTTCCAACATGACTGTGCACCAGTGCACAAAGCAAGGTCCATAAAGACATGGATGACAGAGTCTGGTGTGGATGAACTTGACTGGCCTGCACAGAGTCCTGACCTCAACCCGATAGAACACCTTTGGGATGAATTAGAGCGGAGACTGAGAGCCAGGCCTTCTCGTCCAACATCAGTGTGCGACCTCACAAATGCGCTTCTGGAAGAATGGTCAAAAATTCCCATAAACAAACTCCTAAACCTTGTGGACAGCCTTCCCAGAAGAGTTGAAGCTGTTCTAGCTGCAAAGGGTGGACCGACGTCATATTGAACCCTATGGATTAGGAACGGGATGTCACTTAAGCTCATATGTGAGTCAAGGCAGGTGAGCAAATACTTTTGGCAATATAGTGTATATATATATATATATATATATATATATATATATATATATATATATATATATATATATATGTATATATATTCAGAGTGTTACCTTTGACACTCTGAAGCCATTGAAATACTCCAGAAGTTTAAATGGGTAGTCCAGCTCACTCTGAGAGAGATGTTCTGCCATCGCTGCTCTCCTGATGGGGACAGACACACAAAGCCTGTCCGTCTGACCCACAGGAAATGGGTGAAACAAAAACACAAAACGAGTCACACACATTATCAACAAAAAACTACCTGGAAGATCCTCAAAGTGCTCGTTGTTTTGGAAGGAAATGTGGCTGTTTTTACTCTAGAGTAATATCAAATCGCGTAATTTCGCTGCCAAACAGAAAAGATGTCGGTGGTGGAGCAGAAGCCGGGATGAAACAGGTGCTGATGGGTGATCAGAGACGGAGAAGAAGCATCTCTGTCCGGATCAAGCAGAAAGTTCAGGAGAAAGACGCGTCATCGTGCGGCGTTTAATCGATGTGCAAAAACTGACAGTCTGAAACCTAGTCAGTGTAGTTCCGGGTTGAACCGCAGCAGCAGGGGGGGCGCTGTGGAGCTGCTGTGATATAAGGTACATGTTTTTTTTTTTTTTTTGGAGGGGGGGGGGGGGGGGGGGGGGGATGTATGGAATCCTTGAAGTACCAAAATAGAAATTAAATTCAAAAGGCACAACATAATACACATTACAATGAAAATACTTTGAAATGTAACAAGATGTTACAGTGGAATCCGCTTATAGTGGTCACGTTGGTAGAAAGCCAATTTGAACACTATAAGCGGTTGATTACTATATCTGAATTTACAATTATTTCACTTATTTAATTATGCAGAATATCATATAAATGCAATTTGTGTGGTTTTTCAATGAGAAAAATGAAATGAATCTGATAGCTTCCGCATTTACTGAATTTTATTACAGTACCATGCGAGTTCCATGACGGTATACTGCGCTGTGCGCAGACATAACTCTGGTAGCCTGGTGCTGCCAGTTCATTTTTTTTAACAAGTCTGAAGTTTGAAACAAACGGTTTCATAGAACAACAACATAGAAGATAACTGCAAAGGCTAAAGAAAATTAAAGCTAGCCTCCCTCTGTTTTGTGTTGCGGATCTGCTGCGCCGCATTAAGAAATCACTTCACATATTTATCCATGGTTGGACAACACTCTGATCCATGGATCAGAGTGTTGTCCAACACCGAGTTCTCTTCTTTTTCAAAATGATGTAAAAGGTCAAAGGTTTTGAAACCAACATGCAGGAGACCAGTCTTTAAAATCCCTCACTGCGCGCAGCACTGGTACCCTCACCAAAGCACTCTTGTACCTCCATGATGATGTCCTCATCACAGGCTCTGACACCGAGATGCTGTTATCCCTTTCGATCCACTTAATAATTATTTTTGCACATGTTTACATTCATAAAATGGCCAAAAATGAACACTATAAGCGTATTTCTTGATTACTATAAACTAATTATTTAAACAGCATTTGTATGGAAATGATTCTGTCCCAAACTTTTTGAACACTATAAGCGGTTGATTACTATATATATACAGTGGAATCCGCTATAAGCGGATTCCACTGTATAAATAAACATATTCCCTTTCTAAAATTTGACAATAAACTATAACTTAAGGCCTAATATGCAATTACTATTTAACACCCTGGTTATTATATTTGATACCCAGTGCTATACCCATATATATATATATATATATATATATATAAATACCCATCTATATAAATACCCATGTTAATACCGTACACTAACCCTGTATAATAATCCTGTTAAATAAGAGACTTCAGCTGTCATATAAATATATATGCGGATGCACTGTATATACTGTATACCGTGCACCTTTTCCTCCTTTTGGCACCTTCTTCTTGTTTTTTACTATTGAGCTGATGTAACGAGTAAATCTCTCCACTGTAAGATCAAGTCAATCAATCAATCAATCATGAATATTGGATTATTTTAAGAACAGTTGCTGATCCTTTGATCAATTAAGGGAAACCTATGCCGATTTCTCTGTGTGAAAATTAATGCTTTATTTTAGAAGATATGTGATATATTTAAGAGATACTGCATTTTTAAATAGGCAGGAAAATGTATCCCAAAACTCAGATTTTTATAGTTATGGGGTTGGCGTAAACTGAATTAGTCGAAAATTGTGTGTATGGCCTCAAAGAGTATTAAAAATATAAACATACTATTACTTTATTTGAAGTCATCCTTCATTATAAATCCCAAATAATATAATCTATTCAGTTATTTGAATGTTATTCTGCAGCAGGGCATGATTTGCTGCAAATAGATCCTTATATCTAAATATAAATCCAATACAAATCAGTTATCTTGACTAAAGCAGTGTAAGCTTAGCAAACTTAATTTCTAACTTGCTACCATCAAAGTGGCCACTTTTACACTAATGTGAGTTAATTTATGAAGTTCTGCATTTTGAAATATTTAATTATTAAAATCCTTAATACAAAAAAGAAATAAAAATCATAAATGCTTTTCCAAAATAATTTTTTAAAAGGTATCTAGGGATATGTTTAATATAACTTTCATGCGTTTCGAAATTAATTGCATCTTAACATTAAGGTTATTTTTGTTAACATTCTGGCACTTCTTGAATTCCATAAGTTTGATCCCTATATGTGATATTTAGTGCGCAAACAGAAAAGATCACAGACAGATCTGAGAGAATTTTGTTTTAAAGCAATGTTATGCTATAAAACAATGCTTTAAGCTTTCTCAGAGAGCATTGTTCACTGTAACATAAAAAACAAAACAAACAGTACGGTAAAACTGCAAATTAACCAACCTCCTAAACTGGGACACAGTTTAAGACAATTATTCAAGCAGTCAGTAAATTCAGAGAAGCCACTTTGTGCTTGGTAAAGTGGATGAAGAAAAGCTTGTTAAAGGCTGCAATAGTTAAGAATAGGTCCATAGTTCTCTTTTCAGAAGGACAAAGAAAAAGAAGCTATTAACATGGATCATTGTGCATTTGTTTTATTGCGCTGACCTGAACTGTTACCATGTTTCATTGTATAACAAGGAAACCAACTTTGGTTCCCCTTTGCTCTCAATGAAAACATTTTTTGTTTTGTAAATATGTATACAGTTCCAAGAGGAAGACATTTTTTGATCATTGCAATTAGCCTTGGTATCCTGATTCACCTGAAAGATCCAGCTTGAGAAGAAAGGTTTAACATTTTTCCATGTTTCAGGTCTACAGATGTTAGATCCTCTTTCCTGGCCATTTGACCTACATTGGATGGAGGGTCATTCAGCCCATGACCCTACTTGCAGACCAAGAACAGTAATATATAATTTTAACTGAAATAGGTTCAGCCAACTCTATCCTCTTGGAGCATCTCTCATATCTAAATATTTGTTTTTTGGTAGTCTAATTTAGGAATCATCTAAAACAAATGAGTTCGCTTTTCCAACTCAATTTTTATACAACTGGGATTTTATGGTGTCAAACTATTAAGCAAATAATCAGCATCGACTCCAAAGGATCTTCTACTCAATGTCATGACACCAAGATCAATCTCATCTCATCTGCTCACATGTAGGTGGTATTTACCAATAATTTGAACTTCTCCCCAAAAACAGATTTTATTTTCCAAAAGGGCTTTAATCATGTTTCTTTGCCACTTGGTGAACTTTGTAAGGCCAAAAGTGAAATATTTTCATCACCAAGTAACCTTTAAAAGCAAATAAAGACCAGAGATATACCATTATTAACCAAATTGATTTATTATGCATGAACAAATCCCTTCCTGCCTCTTTCACACAGACACAAACACGCATTCGCACGCACGCCTGACATTTAAATACATGTGGTGAAACCTCGGCATAGCTGACTTTGTTGTTGCACATGCTTTAATAAACGATAGATATATTTACAGGATAAGCAATGTCTACAAACAAAACGGTCCAATCCTGCAGCATTTTTGCAACACCTGCTAATCGCTTTTGATTTATTTTGAAAAATTCACCCACATTCAAAAATAAAACTATAGAAAGTAATGGAACAAACAAACGATTGGGGGGGGGGGGGGGGTTGGCCAATATGACATAGCATTTGCATGTATATGGAGTTCATCCACTACATAAATATGGCAGTAACACTGAGTAATTTCTTGGGTCTTTGTACAAGTTTGTGATGTGGGGGAACATTTAGTCTCTGCATGGACGACTGAAGCAACGAATGCCTTCTTTTAAGACTGGGGTGGGGAGGGGTGGGGGCTGAGTTTCGGAACAAAGCGGACACCTCCATCCTTCCACTCACCTTCTGCTCGAGCCATCGGCGCTGACGCAACAAACGAAATAAGGCACGATTAATACTTGGACCATTATTCAGGGGAATCTACAGACCTGCAGCTGGCTTGTGAGGCATGTAAACAATTTTTCAATTGATTAGAACTGCCTGATCACCTTCCCTTTTGCCCCCAACAATCAGCGATTTAGTCCATCTGATGAGATTTTAAACAAGCTTCATGTAGCAAAGACCTTTGACCCCCCCGCAAAGAAGTATGAAAAGGGGAAAAAAAATAAAAAATAAAAAAGGTGGCTGGAACACTGTCCCCTCTATGCTACTTAACAAATACAATCACATGGTGACAAACAAAGAAAACTAGTAGTGCATACACTACAAACACAGATAAATGCAAAGCCTGCCAAACTTCCCTTGGTCAGGCCGCAGGAACGACCTTCTTATCCAGGAGGGAGGGACGCGATCTGAATAGAAAAAAAAAAGAAAAAAAAAAAGAAAAAAAAAGAGTGACCGATTAGTTTTCCAAAGCTGAAGCGGATTCAGTTGCTGTGCGTCTAAACCGAAGACTAAAAGATAGAAGTGTTTCCCACGGCGCGCCATGATTATCCCGGACCAGACGATTCCTGACTGACCTCCATCCAACATTTCTCCTGCCTCAACCAATCAGCAAGATGCTTTGGGGTTTTGTGTCAAACTACATCTAACAGCCCCCAGATGTTTTAGCTGTCAAATAAAATAAAGCTCCTCCAAGCCTTCTGATAGCTTTCTGTTGGCGTTCATCTTCGTAGGATGACGAGGGGGAGAGGAGGTCTGGTTGCCAAGACTTTAATCCTTCCCTTCCAACGCTGCCGCAGCACCAGACGGATTCAGAGTTTCGGGACAGGGACTAGAGAAGAGAGTGACTGGTGGACGGGGCAGGAGGATGGGTAGACGGTCTGGTAGTCCAGGGTGGTCTGGTACAGCTGTTTGGGGGCTTCTGGCTTTGGTAAGTGGGATGGGAACAGCTCAGTCATGCTTCAGGTGGTCCTTGATGTCCTCCTCGTCCGTGTACTCTGACGGCTCGTCTCCTGGCTTCAGCAACCTCCCAACGTAGTCGTATTTTTCTAAAAACACCACAAAGAGAATCAATGAGAGACTAAATTCTATTTGTCCCTTTCCAGTCAAATATTTAGGGGTCAAAAAGTTTGGCTGAATACTTTTTCTCCTTAAAGTTCACTAACATTTTGGCATCGATGA